ACGAGTGTGGACGACGTCTGCCTTAATAATAGGTTAACCAATATTTTAGACTGAAATATAACAATAAAGGTATTATTGTGCAATAGGTTCCCAGGATATTGGTATGCTGGTGAATAAGGAAGGAAACAATCTTGCCAAAGTGTTAAGGTCTTGATATTTTATCTTGGTTTAATGATATTTAAGAACACGTTAAGATTGAATGTTTTTGAATTCGATCAGGATATTTTAATGAAATATGTCTGAAAAATATCTGGTAAAAAATTATCCAATCGACGTTTCTTCGTTCAAAATAATATATTGCTTGGGTTTACTGTTTGTGTATTATTTCTTATTGCGCATGCTAAAATGCGGGTGATGTGTTGAACAATGTCGAAGTAAGCTTGTATTAAAAAAAAATTAATATCTCTTTCAAACAATCTACCCAGTTAAGTTAAAATAAACTAAAGTTGATCCACTCTTTCATAGGTACTCTTTTCGAATTCCTGGCCTAATTAAAATGTAATATTTAATTAATGTTGTTAATCGATTGATTTTTTATTTTAAAATTCGTTTGGTTTGAAGTGACATTAAATATTTATACTTTATACTATTAATATAACAATAATAACTTAATGAGATTTCTGCATTACCGTTTCCACTTCGATTGATGTCTTCGATTGTTTTTAATATTGCAGTGCTTAAGCCATTTTCAAACGAGGTTATAATAGATACCTAATTATTGTTAAGCACTTTTCATTTAATTTATTATGTATGCTTAATTGCATGCAATCTAGCATGATTAAAAAAGAAATATACACTGAAACAGAAATGTTGCATTCCATATATAGCAAAGACAAAATATATATTAAAACATAATATTACAACATTAGGTACCTACCTTCTAATTCAATGAGTAAAATTTATAAATTTATTTGTATATGAAAGGAAATAAAACATTAAATTTAAATAATTAAAATAAGCGAGTAAAACTTTTCATAATTATGGACGAAGAGGCGGAGGATAAACCGAGATTTATATAATTTATATTTTTTTTAAATTATCTATGCTCGGATAGGTACAGTCTTTAAATTTACATTTCTTACAGAAAAAGGTAGATGAAACGTAATATACATTTTCGTTTCTATATTACACAGAAGTACGAAGTTCTATAAAAATAACTTTATTACGGCCATATAATTAATTATTACACAGAGATTCCGGCCTAAACAGAAGCATAACTGCTTATATTAAGAAATGAAAAGAAATTGATATGGGTAACGTTGTAGGTAATATTATAGATAATTTCAACGAGTTTTATTTCTATTTATTCTCGACTACAAAGAAATATAATAAGTCTTAAATCATATCGATGTTTGATAAACATAAACAGTTTAAACTAAAATAAGAAAAAAATAACATGTGCGCGGTAAAGTGTACCGTGTATTTAAATAAAATAATAATATTCAATTAATCTTATTTAATTACTTACCATCGTTTTAATTCTTCGGATATTTTAATTTATCTTTATCAGGAGCAAATATGTCAGGTCACTTTTCAGCAATGTAAAAAATGTATCCAGATAACCAAAATTGCCCGATATAAATTACGAATTCGCGAATTTACGGCCGTTTAGTACGCATGCGCGACGAGCCCGCGCGTAATGTCTTCTGCCAGAATTCGCGCGCTTTGCCTATCCTTACCCACAGCCTCTCACCACTCGGTGCGGTCTTTCTTCACTAGCGAATAAAAGCACGTGATGCCTTATGAAAGCGCTGGTCGTGGGATAGAATTCTGTATCGTCAATGGCCGGTATTACAACCGTTTAGTACCAGTATAAATCGCCCAGTAGATCGTTTCCGATTTAGCGACGATTCGTGAAGTGGTAGCAGACGAGTGTTTACTTGATTCAGCATACGTGTTGCATTACAGAGGAGACTAACTACATTGCTCCATTGCAAATAAATACGGAAATAGTATATATAATGGAGAATGGACATACACGTACAAGACAGGAATACAACAACTGTTTTCTAAAGAAGCCATGTACTTTGCAATTGTACACTATATTAACGTTAGGGAAATAATTGTAGTCAATTATTTGAAATAAAATAATTGTTCTAGTGATTTTTTGTAATACGTATTTATTTAATTGTATTACTATTATTATGTAAAAGACGTGTATTTACTGTAAAATATTTTTTATAAAAATTAAATATTGTAGCGCTTTGGAGTCTTCGGCGGCTCAATTAGCTAGAATGGCGCATTATCCAGAAGAAGCAGGTTTGAATCCCGCAACACCAAAAAAAATCCGACAATTTATTAAACTCAGATTTAAATTTCGATGTATAAGTTAATTTTAAAAATAGCAGATTAAAAGTTAAATTTTAGTGATCAAAGAAAACAGGTTCAAATAATACAGCCACTTGCCTTAGATTCTTCGTCTTTATACAAACATTATAAATATCATCGTGACCAGTACAAATCAGACCAGCCATTTTTATTTTGTTTTGTAACATATGAATAACATTTTTCATCAACATCAAACTTCAGTTAATTCGAAATAATTTCATCCGCCTCGTAACCGGTGTCAGGTGGTGTCAACGTATCGTCGATCTGCATAGCGATTGCCGACTCCCGATGCTACGCGTACACATAAAAGAGTTAACCAATCGGTTCATCAAACTAGACGAAAACCATTCGAGACGGTTCGAATGGTTTTCGTCTCTTGAACGTAGCGATTACATAACAACAAAAGGTCAAAAAGGTTACAAAAGTCGCCCGAAACCTCCTCATCAACCCGGTCGAGGAAAGGCACATAGGTTAATCGGACCTATCGGTGGCTCCGCTTGACAACACTATGCCCATACATAGTGCTAGTAAATGTAACCAAGTTCCTCCTTGCACGGGGAAACCAACATATCGCGTACACAAGGGACACCTGCGTTCCAAGGTAGTCCACAACGTCCAATTATAACATCGGAGCCCGGAATACACTCAGAGATCTTTTTAAAGAGATTAATATACTCACTGTTGCGTCCCAATATATTTATTGTAATATTTTGTATGTTAGAAATAATCTTAATTGTTACCTAAAGAATAGTGATAGACATAATAATTAATTAAGCCATTGTTTCTTCTACAAAGTCAAAGTCAAAGTATATTTATTCAATATAGGCCTAACTTAAGCTCTTATTGAACGTCAACAAAAAATCTACCACCGGTTCACAAAACACTACCACCGGTTCGGAAAAGAAAGCCACTGTACTGAGAAGAACCGGCGAAAGAAACTCAGCGGGCTTTTTTTTTTAAATAAGCAGTTTGACATAAATTCGTTAAAATACAATATAAGAACTCCGATTGAAAGAGCCTGGAGCGATCAGTTCATTACCAGAGTGTGTTATCATTTAAATAATCATTAATATTATACTAGCCTTTAACACACAAACGTTCTTTTACTATTTTTTTAAATTTAGCTATTGATGCATTTTGAACGTTTTCTGGAATTTTGTTGTAATAACGTATACATTGTCCCATAAAAGATTTACTTATTTTACGGAGTCTACTTGTGGGTAGGATCAATTTATTTTTGTTCCTAGTATTTATATCATGAACATTATTATGTCTTAAAAATTTATCCTTATTTTTATGGACATACAAAACATTTTCAAAAATGTATTGAGCAGCAACAGTCAATACCTTTATCTCTTTAAACAAGTTTCTTAACGATTCTTTGGGGTCCAGATTGTAAACTGCATGAATAGCTCTCTTTTGTAAGATAAAGATTGTATTAATGTCGGCCGCGCCACCCTAAAGCAGAATGCCATAAGACATTATACTGTGAAAATAACTAAAATATACCAAGCGACCTTTATCTACATCAGTTAACTGTCTTATTTTTTTGACCGCGAAAGCTGCTGAGCTAAGTCTACTAATCTGTCTAACTAACTGGCTGCAAGTGCAGAGCAAGAGTCATTTCCAAAAAGTACATCTACAAAAAGTAAATAGATCGTTCATGAGGCAAAGTGTGCGCATGTATAATAAAATTCCACAGTCGATATTAAGCCACTAGATCAATTGCGTTTAAATTGATCTAGTGGCTTAATATCGAAATTAAAAGTGAACTTATGGCTAAGGCGTATTATACCATTGCGGAATATCTTGACGACGCCAATGTGAGGGGTTAATACTGTTGATATTCACGTAGGCTAAAGTAAGATTTATACCTATCCTATTATATTGTAAACTAATCGTTTTAAAAAGAGAGCAACTGTTGAGTTTCTTGCCTGTTTCTTCTCAACAGAAACTGTTTTCCGAACCGGTCGTAGCTTACTTACGATCGTATTAATTTTTATGTAAAATGTTGACGTTTCATAAGAACGCGCAAGCGTCTATATTGCAGAAAGATACTTATTTCTTTGAGCATACTTCATTCGTCTACTACCGTTAATTTCAGATCTTTCTCTTATGATCCGCGCTATTCTGGCAATTTTTTTAATTTTAAAGCATTAATCAACATTTTTGTGGAGACTTTTTCAGTTACAAAATACGTACTAACTATTATATCTCTACACGTAACATTTCTACATGTTCTAAAAACTCATTAATATAACTGATCTGAAAGTCTGAAGATCAGAATAGAATAAAATAAATAATTAACAAAATTACAGGCTGAAAGTGCAATAGCTTATTTTTCGATTAATAAATATTTTGACAACCATTTATATTACAAAACGTTGCAAGCATTCCCTTGTGTTACTATATTTTTTTTTACACTTTATTAATGTTGTATTTTATAGATAATGTACGTGAGGAACTTCTAAAGGAATTTCTCAATATTCTTGACAATATATCGTTCAGAAGTCTTCTTCTTTATGAACAAATAACAGAAAATTTAACAATAGTTTTAAGGTCACAGTTAAGAAAACCCAGGAGCGGTGACAACTTTTTGGTATGAACTAAATCAAAATATGTAACTTAATTTTATGAGCAGTTTTATTTATTAAATTTAAAGTTTTATTAAAATGGATGACGCTAAAATTGATACATACGAAAAAATTGAAAATGAAAAAAGTGCACTAAATGGGGACGATGTACATGAAGGTAATAAGGGTGACTACGAAACATTAGATGAAGTTAAACAACATAACGAAATTAAAAGTGAAACACATGTGGACAATGAGGAAAAGGTTCATACTGAAAGAGATAGCAGTGTAACCCAAGAAGACATAATTATTGAGCAAAATGTAAAAAATCAAGATATTATTGAGAAAGAAGAAGGTGAGGTTGAGGGTAAGGAAGTAAAAGATTTAAAAGAAGATCAGGAAGCTGTACAAGAAGAAGAGGAAGCATATGTCGAAGAACCACCACCAGACCCTGCTGCACCTTTAAATCTTAAAGATTCAACAGAAGCCCTCAAGCCAAGTTTTGAACTGAGACCTGATCAGTTATCTGAGGTTGAACAGCTGTGGGAATTGTTTCAAGATTACAATCCAGCTTATACCGATTTGGATAACTTCATCACCGAAAAGGAATTAGTATATATGCTAAAATCTCTTCTTCTAATGACGTACACCCCTGAACAATTACAAGAATTAATAGATTACTGTGTAAGACCTCCTCATCCCGAAGGCCACATTAATTATGAACAATTCTTGAAAATAGTAATAATTAGACAAAGAGACTTACCTATAGAAGAAGAATTACGATCAGCTTTGCAAGCACTAGATCCTGCTAAAAGCGGTGTTATAGACAGGGAGTTTATGAAAGATGTCCTTTCTAAGCAAGGTAATAAATTGTCTCCGAAACATTTAGATAATCTTATAAAAGAAGTAGACATAAGTAATGACGGTACTATTGGCATTGAAGATGTAGTTGGAACTATGTGCATTGATTTAAACAAAGACGATATTTTGATGCTAAGGGCAGCATTAAACCCTGAATCTCAAGAGAAAAAAGAGGAAGAGTTTTAAAAGAATTAAGTAAAAAAATACATTCGAAGACGCAATTGTGATTAATTAAAACCGATATTTTTATAACTTTTTTTTACTTGCAAAAATAACATTTAGCCTTTCAGTATTAACCTTGGAATGATTGAAAAGTAAAAAAATATCAACTAATAATATCTAGATAAATGTTTTTGTAAACATCTATTTTTATTTGGAGGAAGTCGTAAAGTAGTAAGCATTTCACCTGATTGTATAATATAATCACGGCTCTCATAGATATTCGACACTCAAGTGAAGTTGCTGTTCTAATAAGTGTAAAATCTCTTCCATAATATCCCTAAGTATTGGACTTAAAATAAAAACAAAGTTTAAATGAATAGAATAAAATTTGCGAAGAGCGCTACTAAAATATCATTTTTTGATTTTGAGTTTTGTTGGCGTTTTATGGTAGTCAAAATCAACTACAGAAATCAATTAAAATAGCTGTTCTTCTAGTATGTAGCCAATTTCTGGCATCTTCTTGAGGTCATCGACCCATCTCAACGGCAGGTGGCCTGTGCTCCTTATTCTCAACCGTGGCCTACACTAAGAATTCCCTCCCCTATCTACAATCACTCGACAGATATGATCTTTATTAGTTTACAAATTTTCCACCACCTTTTTCTTCAAATTTCTTAGTTTTGGTTAGAAAAAACTACCTACCCTAGAGAAACACTAAGCATAAATAGCATCGATAGTCGCACGGCGAGCCATGGGGAGACCATTGCTCGCCGTTCGACTATCGTGCGATTAGTATTTGCGAGCTTATGAGAGTTTCCCAAATTCAGCCCAGCCCTGCAGTCGAATACGAATTTCTTTGTTCAAGTTACCCCGGCGAATTTATTTTTTCTGACCGAGATAGATGTACTTTTTAAATATATAAATGAACCCATTCTGACGGTGACCAAAATAACGACGACCAGGTCGTTAACATGACTTTTGTCTTGTTGAACGCTAGCTGCATTTCTTCACTGAATAGTTATGCTTAACTTTTGAGCGAGAAAAGAACCAGCGTTCTTGTCATCAGCGACAGCGTTAATCCTGGGACGTAAACCATTAAAAAAAATTAATTTACGAGAAAGTTTCAACAGCAAATGGCACAAATACATAATCTACACAAAGAGACTCATATTTGCGCAAGTTACTTCAGCTGCCACCGATGCCGCCCCAGCCCTTACCGAAGTACCCCATAGATAAGAGGCAGTTTCTGTCTTAATGTATTATCCATTTATACACCAAAGAGTACTTTTGTACACTGGAAAGGCTATTGTTATGTACACGATGCGTTCGAAACACTCACGTATTCATTTCAGATATAAAACTTATATGGAACTTAACATCTGCATAGTTTACTATAGATGTTCTGTGGATTTGGTATGTGTTACCAGTCCAATTGCTAATATATTTTTTAGTTTTAAAAATTATATAAAAACGTTTTGTACTCTAATTTTGTAGGATATAACAAGTCATTTTTATTTTCACAAATAACAACAATCACACAGAGACACAAACACTCGTTACTTTCTATGCTGTGTATGCTACGACGAGAGTATGAATTCTTATTCTACTCATTACTCAACTTGGAGTACCCATGTTGAGTAGAAGTAGCATAAACTAACAGATATTCGCCTCTGTCTTACTGTTTCCGTTTCTTTTTTAATCGTCCATACTAACTATTTTTTGTTAAATTTAAGCTCTTAAAGTGGGGAAAGTGATTTTCACGCTTTTCCAAGAATCCCTAAAAGCAAATGCACTGTCCGCGATGCTTTCACGGCTGCCGATCTGGGTATAAAAAGACAGTCAAAGTATTAAACACAAACTTGAACTTCGGTAAACTAAAACTTTAGAACAAAACGGAACTATTAAAGAAAAAATGCTAACTTAAGAGGCCATACGTCGATAACAGGATAGTTGTACTTTTTTTTTTTAAAAAACATTGCCCTCAATAGAAAATAACATTATCCTGTATTGCAAGGACGTTTTGAAATTGGAAACAGCGTTGGAAACAGATTGCAATACTCTCGATACTATCGATAGTATTGCAATTTCCATTAGTTTTTGACGATATTTATCGTATCGACGTTTTTAAAAACTATCGATAATTATTGAGTGAGAAATAACGATAAATCGATATATCGATACATTTTTAAAGTCTTTTTCTTTTTTTTATAATTCCAAACCATTAAAAATTCGTAAAAAAGAATAAACATGAAGTTAAAATTAATATTTATTAATAATAGTGACTCATTGAACGACGATACGTTAAATAAAATCAAACAAAAGCAACCTTTACCTTTTTTTGTAGCTTTTTTGGCTTGTTTAAAAAAAATTGTTTGTTTTGTTTGTTAACTTCAGGGTCTTATACGTCTCACACTGACGGTTTAATAATATTAGTAATAAGTATTTTCATAGTATTGCTTTAATGGTCTTGTTACCAGGCCATATACTCTTTATTAAAAAAAAAGTATTATCATGCACGCATCTTTTTTTTTTATGGCCCAGTATCAAGGACCTTTAGGCCAAATGCACGCATCTAATAACTAAACCAGAATTGCGTTAAAAAGTATATCGAAATTGACACGAATTCGATAGTCGAATATAAATATCGAATATCAATATATCGGTAATAAAAATATCGACGATATATATCGATATTTATTTGGAAAAATATCGTTATTTTTATGTATCGATATTTTTGCCCATGCCTAACTGGTAAACAGAAACACTGGCCCAGGCCGGATGCTTAAGTAAATTTTATTTTTTACTGAATCTCAAAACAAACCGCCTACGACCTATAAGCTATATGTTATTTTTGTGCGACTTATTTCATTTAATATTTTAATATGCGGATTCAACTAATTATACTCATTGTATCGTCTTTCAATGAATGTAAGTTACTTAAATATTTCTACTTTTGGGTGTGGTTTTTTTTTGGGTCTTTGAAGTTTTGCTTAAAGTTTAAGTGTATTTACTTAGTACTTTACTTTATTTGTTTGTATTTTAAGTCGGAGCTTTAAAACTTTAAGATAATGTGATTTTTCCTTTTTTATTGTTAACATTGCATTAATTTAATATTAATTTTATTATAGACGTTGTCGTTAATAATTTCAGGCCTAGCAATATGGTGTTATCAGTGTACGGCAGCAACGCCTGGATGCAATGAACCCTTCAATTGGCGCGGAATTGGTTATCTGGGATACCCTTGTCTGGACAGAGAAGATGTCTGTGTTAAATTAATAGAGAGAAAAGGGGGTATGTACGTACAATAACAGGTTAAGTGCCTGTTACCATGTTTTCGCTCATGGTTGTCGTAAGATGGAAAAATAAAATACCAATTATCCTATAGTGTTGAATGTATAAATACTTATCTGTTTGTTGTTATCTGATGTGTAATATGTTAATTTTTATATCAATTTTTGTACATTTGTTTGTATGCCTTAATAAAATAAAATAATTGATTAAAGGTGTCTTGACTCTTGAACACTGAAATTTGAAACTGATAACAAATAAATCCATCTGATTAGGATGTAATTATGACATGTTTTTAAAATTCAAAAGATTTTATCATAATAAAAGCTTCCTTTTTGTCTTTTAGCACAAGAAGTAATTACGAGAGACTGTCTGAGTAATTTTAAGCCGTTTAGGACTGACATTCCAGCTGACACATATGAGGGTTGTAGACCAGCTGCTAAAGATGTTAATCTGGCCAATTATGTCAACAATTCCATAAAGGAAATTGATGTAAAAAGGTAACATTGTATTATGGTATTTTTAATCAGACAAATTAATTTTTAACACAGCATATCTGTGTGTTACAATTGGTTTTTTAATAATTAAGATACATAATATAAGATACATGATAACATAAGATACTAAATATTAATAGATAAGAACATGAATTTCAATAAACATTTTAATTTCTACCGGACATAGGTCAAAGCTTAAAAAGTAAACATAAGTGCAAAAAGCAATGTTCTAAATTTATATTGAGTTACTAACGAAAATGCTGATAAAGCAAAATAAAAAAAATCATAACAGTTTTCAACAAATAATTATTTTCTCTTTTAAATTCCTACAGATTTATAATTCTTATAAAATTGAAGATTGAACTTTATTGTTATCAACTAAAATAAAATTTTAATCGTTTATTGTGGTGCACTTTCAATGTTAACAACAGCAATTGTTCAAGAATTTAGGGACCCAACTGTTATATCACACAAATCATGTGTACATGACGGTGATAGGGCCATCCAACAGTCTTCACTGTTTGCATGGATCGACAGGTCCGTCAGGTAAGTACCACTACCTCAAAGAAGACTGGCGTGAGGAGGAAGTGTTACATTTCTGTGTTTCGTCTGGTGAGGGAGGTTGCCGGGGCCCACTTTGTTAAAAGGTGGCAAGGCACCTACAACCCTATGGGTGTTGCAAATGTCCATAGGCAAGGCATAAGTTGTCAAGTTGTGTTTTTAAATTGTTTTCTTCTGTACGAAGCTAATATTTTGTTATCTTTGTTGCAGGGAATGGTATGATGAGACTATATGGTGTTTTTGCTTTCTCGATCATCGATGTAACAGTGCATCAACTGTTTCAAATACATTTGTTGGAGTAGCATTGTCATGCATTGTAGTACTGTTCACAAAAATGTTTCATTGATAGCCAGTCATGCGTTGCAAATTAGACTGATGGTAACTGTGAGCATGCAATACAAATCACATACAAAAGGAATTACTCATATATATGTGCAGTGAATAGACTAAGACCAGATTACTTTTTAAAGGAAAGATTTAATTGAAAATATTTAAAAATATAAATAATGTATTCCTGTCATAATTTTAATTCATAATATATGAAACTACGTAAAAATCAAATATTGTATAGCAAGATTAATGACAGACATAGATATAGACTATAATATAAATAGTCAAGTGAGCAAAAAATTCAAGGTTATATGAATTGAATACTGATTACAAAACTTTGAAATGTATAATTCTATACAAGGTATTTAAATGAATTTTATGTTAAGAATTAAATAATAATTTCTACCAAGTAACATGATTTAAAACTACTTAGATTATCACCTATAAATAATGTGTTTTATACATGTCCTTTTCCGTCCATAGCTTTTAGCTTTAGTAAATAAATGATTATATTTTATATTAAGTAGATTTTAAACATGCCCATTTTGTATCAACTGATTATTTTGTTATATTAAACATAAGAATAAAAAATATTTTGACTTGCATAAGATCATTTTTAATTTGTTTTTATCATTATTTGGAAAATATCGTTAATTTAAAAAAAAAAAAGCAAATTATGGGTATTATTAACGCGTGAAGAAAACAAAGTGTAACACAAAAGTATAAATTGTACTTATGAGTCAAACATAGTACCAAAGAGAATGTAATCACTACGTTTATATATGATAGTACTGCTTTGACTGATGTCTCCTTTCAATGCGTATATACAGGGTGGCTTTTCTAAAGGTTGGGCACCTTCACACAGGAGGTTCAGACTTAGTAGTATAATCGTTTATTGAAATAAAAACAAACTTGTATTTTCAAAAAAATTCCCATTCCATTCCATAAAAAACGGAACTTGTTGACAATGCGGTAGTCATTCATAAATGCGTCTTATACTTTTGAAACGAACTTGTGTGTGTGTTAGTTAGGAATGACGCGTGTAAAGTTCAAATGAATGTATTTAATTACGAGTGATTTAAATATTTATCATTTTTTATATAACATTATTTATGTCTAGAATTTAATAAAAAAATGGATACAATTAAAAATGCTCCCTTTTATAAAGCTTTATTGAACGCAGATATGGGTTAGCCCGATCTCAAGAGCTTGATATTGCCATCTGCGTGGGATAGTGCTCATGCGTGCGTTATCTGATGGGCAGGAATGTCACCGAACGATCGTGTTCCACATACCCTTAAAAACTTATTTCTTGAGTAAGTTTTTGAGGGCTATATTTATTAAAATTTCATTAAAATTGTTTTCGTAGATTACAGTTCAAATATGACACTGATGTGTAAACAAATACACATTTACTTTTGTAATTTTTGTGAGCGAACAAACTAACATTATATACGTTTACTAGTGCTCGCCCCACGGCTTTGCCCTCGAGGTTAACACACTACACTGGAACTGGAACTACACATTGTAGAAAATCTTGGTCAGGGCTTTGGTGGCTGATTTTCTGGTGGCTTTAGGAGCTGATTCTGCGCCTCCCTTTTACAGGGAGGCTTTTCTAAGTGTATTTTTTTTTATTAAATTCTAGACATAAATAATGTTATATAAAAATGATAAATATTTTAAATCACTCTAGATTTATACGCAATTCATTTATTTTACGCGCGATCATTCATAACTAACACGCACACAATTACGTTTGTGTGCGTTAAAAGTAAAATTTAGGTACTTATGGATGACTACCGCGTTGTCAACAAGTTCTGTTTTTTAGAGAATGGAATAGTAAAAAGTTTGTTTTTATTTCAATAAACGATTATACTACCGGGTTCAGACCTGTGTAAATTTGGGCACCTTTAAAAAAGCCTCCCTGTATACTGGCTAAACATTTCTATATAAGCCACCATTATTACCGGAGCAGCTTATGGAGAGACCCCGTTCCATAGAAAAGCGACAGTGGCATTTAACCTATGTTTGGCATTTATCACCTTAAGTACGTGGGATAAACGGGGAATATGGCATGAACTCAGTTGGTCTTCTTCCTTGCTTCTCATACGATTAGTTTTATTTTGGTTGCGCAAGAGTATCGAGGCTCAAAACTTACACGTGAACTCACACATTTTTCATTTCTCTCGGACATATGCTAGTTTAATTAATAACATGTCTATGCCATCATACAGGGATATCAGTATTCAATGTTAGTCAAGGTTATAAAATAGTAGTGTGTGTTAAATCCGTTCAGTGGTTTTTGTGTGACTGAGTAACAAGCATCGGAAACATTTTTTTTGTTAAAAGTTGGCCAATAATCAGGTTGATCACTAGATGTTCAATGATCACCGCCTACGGATGGACATCTAAAACACCCCAAGGGTTGTAAACTGTGTTGTCAACATTAAATAAGAGGGCCAGTTGCCTCACTCACTAGACGAAATGTGAAAGAACAATAATTTCACTTCACGGCCATCTTCTGTGGGGCCGTGAAACTTCCAGACGAGTCAAAGCAGAAGGTGCTGCATGGCCCTTCCACAGAAGAAATTTATTTCCATTTCACGTTTGTCCGAGTTATTGGCGTACTGAATAGTGAACCTGTCTCGTGGCAGAGGGCGTGGATTTCATCCACTCTACTAGAATAAATTATAACAATAAAACATGTTTTTATGTTTATTCTTACAAAAATAGTTCCACTTCTTAGGCTCCCCCTCCAGAAAGAAACCAATAATCCTGATAATACTCCTCAGGATAATGGGAAAAAACTTATTCAACTATTGTTCTGGTTGCCTAGTTCTACTAGTGTACAACTAGTATAGTTATGTTCTTTATTAGAAAAGAAAGAGAGTAATTAATATTTAATTTATATTGATACATTAAGCAAACTAAAAGACTCCTAGCGGAATTAACAAATAAAAAATACTTTTACATGATATTCAATCATTAAAATTATGATTTATATTTATGGATCATTAAAAAAAATACTGTGTGTGTGTATTCTAAAAGACTTGATTGCGTTATGAGCAACAAAAATTTTACAGCAAAGCAAACTGTAGGAGTACAATTGTATATGTTGCGGTGATCGCAAGCAAATTTAGGGGAAGTTGGCCATCCAGCGTGTAGATGTCGTAAATAGAAATTGTCTTCTTCACATCAAGCAACAAGAGCAGCCGTTTAATGTTTTGCCTTGACGCACCTGTAAATGTAAATTTAAAAGATTTTTTTTTGTCAAAGAATAAGCTCTTAGCAATTATCTGTATCATTCTTAAAGGCCACTCTTTAGGGCTTCTATTCTTAATGTCATTGTTTGTACAAATATACTGCAAAAAGTGAAACATGTACTTATAACAGGATAGCCCATAACACGCGGGACCACACAGCGAGAGTATCAATTACCTACATTGCGAAATAAACGGTAAAGCGGACACCATTCAAAATAGCGCAGCGGTGGGATGGGGTCAGAAAGCATTATAAACAAGATCCTGTGGAATTTTCTTCCAAAGTCTTTTTTAACACATAGTTGACAGTTAACTATTCACGATTTTCGCAAGCATTTACTAAATAAAAATATCGAGGTTCAAAACCAACAATTGTTATGTTTTACCAACTATGTATATAAGTTATAATATTTAATTACTTAGAAACAATAGATGGTGGAAGGTGAAGGGGAAATTTATATGACCAGGTTATTCACTAATGATGGTTTGAACGTCAATCAATTTAAATACGCTCCATCAATACATATTTAATTTATTATTACACTTATTGATGCTACAATGGCACTAATGTTATTAAACGATTAAATGTTTTATAACGTCCATCAACGTTTATTATCATTGTTAAATTTTTTGTACACAAGTAATGAAGTAAAATAATTTTTAACAAAAAAAGAACCGACTTAAAACAGGAAACTTAAAAAACATTATCAACGCCTATAACATTTGAGGATTGTCCTCGATTTCTCTAGGATGCCATCATCAGATCGGGGTTTCCTTATCATGGTACCGCCCTTGGGATATCTCCTTTCCAACAAAAAAAGAATCATTAAAATCGTTTCATAAATGACGAAGTTATCCCCGAACACACATTAAAAAAAATATATGCGGTCGAATTGAGAAACCTCCTCCTTTTTGAAGTCGGTTAATTAAAAAGTACCTACTAATTAAATTTATAGGTATACAGCTATATCATTGATGGTTCAGTTGTTTTTGTGCAGCCAGTACTTTTTGCATCATGATTACGCTTTGTTTCCTAAACTATTTAAATTTAAGTCTAAAAAAAAATCACGTTTCCATGAAGTTTCCAATAAGTCGAAAAGATGAATATCGTCACATAAAACACCATACCTTTGCTAACGCACAAAACGTTTGCACAAAGCTTTCTAGACTGATCCATCTGAGACTTCAGCAGTTCGGCTACAATACATAATAACATTATAAACAGCAGAAACATTATCGCTGGCACCACAACAGTAATTGAATAAATGTTTATAGGTATCTAGAAAGATAAAGAATAAATAGAAAAAGTGTATTTTTAGGATTAATATCTATTTCAAGCGTCTGTGCACTCGACATGGAAGTATTGTATCAAAATGTCAATTTTTTTGTACATAAATGAACAAGAACTTTCGGCGTTGCGGAGATCGAACCAGCATCTTGGGTAATAAGAAGTTTTACAAATAAAGCTAAGCGGCCGGAGAACTTACGACTCGAAAATATCCAATAAAATAATCACATTTAAAAAGCGTATATAGCATATAATCATATTTCCTTACTTGCTGTTTAATTGTTGATATCATACTCTGCACTAAGATCATCATTATTATCATGAACTCACAAGTCATACCAAAGATCTGTAAATTTATAAATTATATTCGAAAGATTCAGTGTATTAAGCAATACTATAATATTTATTTTATTTATTTAAAGGAGAATATAATAGCAATATATCAAAGTCGCTTGATTTTTATTAAACGTAAAATATTGTGGCTTTATTTACCAAATAATATTTGGCATGAGTTTCGGGAAACTGTTTGTTTTCATTTAGTAAAACAAGTGTAATAATGGATAATTAAATGACGCAAGATTTAATAAAAAATCAAAAATCTTACTGTAAATTGATGAATATCGTGCAATTCCTCCATTGCGCTAATAATGTTTTGCAAACTAGTTACAAGACGATTCCACAATTTGTCCTCAGAATCAAAGCAGTTATTTGTTATAAAAATTGTATTACCAGAATATTCAGAATGGCATGAACTTGTCCATACTCTTTCTTTCAAAATCGAGTTTATATATTGAATCCTAATTACTATAAAGTATATTTTGAAGAATATTAGAATCATTTCAATGTAGTTGCTCAAAACAGGAATTTGCAGTATTAATGCGGCTGGACAAAAGTCCTTTATGGAATAGAAATTTGTTACTAAGGACCACGTTATGCTAGAAATAATTGTAACAGCTACAGAAATTTTTGTGAGTAAAGAAACTTGTTTATTGCGCCGACTTGCATCTTTCATACCGAGGTCGCGATCTATTTTTTGCAATGAAACATAAAAATTGGTATTTGCATTTCCCTTGCAAAAGTTATGAACCGCTACAGCCGCTATAATTAGGCCCATTAATATGTGGCTCAACTTTAAATAAAAGTCAGTTAACATGGAATGATTTGACGATTCACAATGGATTATAAATACGAACAATGATACTGTATGAACAAGCCAAACGAAAATGCAATAGACTTCGTATCCAAAAGACGTTTTTGAAACAAAACCATATCTAATTTTCACTTGGAGTGTTCCGAGAAGCCATTGTGTTAAATGGATTGGTCGAAAAATTTCCACGAAATCATCGTCTAGTATATCTGCAGATAACTTGTCCAGATATTTTTGTTCCATTATAAATTGTACCGACACACGCACCAACCTACAGAAACTGGTGTAACCTCCGAGTCGATCAATTTATTTTAAAATCAATCAAGGTAAATTGTCGTTGGGAATTAACATTGTACATTATATTATAATCTAATTCAACAAACATTTTTAAAGATATTTTGTATGTCGAAATGTGGGTAATTTTTTATCTGACATTTTTAATGTTTGATTTTTCCTTATTTTGTATAATGTATTGGATAATTTGCAAAAAAAAAAAACGTATCAGACGTTATGGTTTATTAAGACAACACGTGGGGAGCATACATGGTTTCCATAAATCAATTAAACTAACAAATAGATACATATACTTATATTGTGTACTAGCAACGACATTACAGGTATATTTAATACTATAATTTTTGTTGACGATGATATTTTCAGTGATTTTCGGCACTCACCTTGGTATTAGTCCATAAGGAAGAGTTAGTAAAAAAGAGTTTATGAAGTAGTTAATCGAATGTTATATTCGCCCACACGCTGAATACCGAATATTCTGCAAGCTTCCTGGTGGAATAGCCGAATATTAACGAATGTTCAAATTCATCCGGTGTGGCCGGAAAAGTTGATTGTTCCTCGTTTGTTGAAATGTACTTACTTGCTTCCCGTCCCATGCCATGCTACATGTTTAGTTTGTACCTACATTTTAGTAGTCACATAGTAGTTTTAACTAACAGTAATCGATTATGCCTCTAAAAAGAAATTACTTTAGAGATTTAAATGTCAATGAAAAAATTCCGTAAAATTTTGTGTTGAAATGTTACTAATAAAATAAATCAATAATTTCATACTATCAATTATTTTGTCTTATTACAAAAAGTCTTACTTAAGTATTTGATTGTGGGCCGAATAGTACCTGGTTATTCGTCCGAATAGGATAAATAGTAAGTATACCTACATATAATAAACATAAAACTTGAAGAACTATATGACTTAAAAAAATGTACCCGAACAGTTTGAATATTCTTTAAAAAGTAAAAAGTTTTCTAACATTCAAAAAGTATGAGCTCTTTCAATTGTGAAATTGTTTTATTTATTTATTGTTGTTGTTTGAAAATGACTAACACTTTACATTATCTTGGACTATTCCATTTGATCTTACAAATTAAGAGGTGATACATATAAACTAATTTTATTTCAATATTTCAAATAACTTGATAAGCAGGTATTAACATTTGAACGATTTTATACTACAACTAGCTGCTGCCCGTGACTACGTCTGCGTAGAATAGGCTGAAGGCGTAACATTCAGACAGAAAGACAGATGTACATAAAATGTGTATATAAATTATAGCCTATCTCTTATTCTGATGTATAAGCTATATTATTGTTTCATTAAAATATATTCAGTAGTTTTTGTGTGAAAGAGTAACAAACATCCATCCATCCATACATACTTTCGCCTTTATAATATTATATAAGTACTACAATAGTGCAAACTGCAATCTAGTTATTATGAGAGTTGTAGTAATATGAAAAGTTTTTAATAGTAAGAATAGATCCACATGCCACATGTCGTAAACAGAGAACTTCGGAGGTGCCTTTTCTATTAAAATCCACATTCTTTTAGCTTTGTCTCTCAAAGGACCTGTAAATAAAACATATAACGACGTTAATTTTTATCTCTTCATAAGCGAACAATACAAATTCTGAATAATAGGGAAAATCCGAGCAAGAACAGTTACTTCTGTACCATGCGCATAAGAATGATTTTTTTTTATAAAAAGATGTCATTTTCCGAGGTTCCGTAACTAACAAGGGTTACACGGTGGTTCGGGTGGAGTTGAATATAAGATTAAAAAAGTATCTTGAAAAAAAAATGGCCCTTAAGACTTTAATTACATGTCTTACCTGTATAGTGCATCGCCATGATATTCGTACATAGACGTTTCGTATAATTAATTTCATTAAAGAAAACCTGACAGCCTATACATACACACGTGGATAAAAGTATATCGGTTGTGATAATAATGGGAATGTGTACGTAAAAGAATAATTCCACCTCCTAAAATTAAGTTGGTGTTAGAAAAATATCCAGACAGCTAAATGCACGTATGTTTGGTATAGTAATTTAACACATACCCTGTCTTGTAATAAAAGTAACACAATGTTAAAAATTATGTAAGTTATCGACATAAGTTTACCATAGAACACCAAAATCTGCAATAGTAAATGTTTTCTTTAAATAATCTTAAGATAACATTATATCTATGTCAATTGAAAGAAAAAAAATTGAACCTGATATCTGAAAAGCAGTTGAAAATTATGAAAAGCATTAAGTATTTCCCTTAGATACAGATCCGTATCGCTTGATACAAAATCGTGTGATTTAGCTGCTAAAAAACATATTCGTTTTATGCTTGGATAATTTGTGCAATTCATCTTTACGTGTTGTATGTCCCCGTACAAATGGTTACGCATTATCGAATTTAAGAAACGCAAACGTATAAAAAAGAACACTGTAATGTTTGCGCAACAGATAATCTCCACTGTCGTTGTGGTTTGACTATAAAATACGCCCATTATTCCAAATCCAGACGTTAAATCCTGGTACCACATAGTTATACAGGGAATTAAGTACATAATTGGGAGAAACTTCACTGAGATATTGTTCAGTATGTGTAAAAATGTGTTGATTTGTTGATTATTTTCAATTTTCATCAAACGGTCTATCTTCTGTAATTGTATGAAGAATTTCGCGTTTTCTTCGCAGTTAACAAATCTCACGTGAATGATGATGCATAGAAATGTAAGGTAAATCAAGGCTAACACCCAGAAGCACATAACATATAAATTATAGTTGTTTATGAATTGGTAATTATATAAAGTGTAGTTTAAATGAACATATAGATTAGCGCTGATGATTATACAAATCACTGTGTAAGCTTTTTGATAGTATGTCGTTGCAGTGACGAATCTGTCTCGGGCGTCCACTCGGCATGAACCCAATATTTTCTGGATGTTAAAGTAAGGCGCGAAACTCTTTAAATACTCCTCTTCTAATATATCATCTGACAGGTACTCTGTATTTAACATCGTAACATATAGTTATGACTGGAGAATATAACGATAGCACGATCTGAAAAATACAAATCCGAAAATTACAATTAAGTAGGGACGTGTAATAAAATTTGATGGGGAATATTATATGATATTATACTACGGACTCAAGAAATTGGTGAAAAGTAGAAGTATTTTTGTTTATTTTTAATTTCGTCCGGATACTGAAGTTGCCGGAAGGCCTCCAGCATAGTATGTTAAATATTTATCTATGGCAGTTCGCCAACAAAAGAGCGGTGTTTTACAATCGGCAACGTTTTGGGAGTCTTCTGGTGTGGCGAGTGACGCGTTTTGCAACCTTTTTCCAATTAAAATAAGTTTTAATTTATACCTCTGTATACAAAAGAATAAACCCCTGTTCTTAAATTACTCCTTAAGAAATTTTCCTACTCCTGTTACCGACTGACTTGTTGACTGACGGTTCGGTGTCGGTGCGTTTTCGTTTATGCGTTCAGTGTGAATTATGTATTAAAATTACTTGTGTCAATTTGTTAAGTAATTTGCCACTGAAGCAAGTGGAACAAACAAGAACCATTAAGAAATTACCTTTCACGGGTGATTACCGTATATACTTATATTTTATTACCACTTACCTCGGATCCGACCAATACTTACACGAGCTCTTATAATTTTTCTTATTTGCTTGAGTGTTTCAATTAAAGCTTTTCAAAGTTAAAACTTGATAAGAAATATTTGAGTAGCGTGACGAGTCAATATTAGAATGTCCTCTTTTGTTATCGGGCGAAATCCTCATACCCTGGATTATGTGGGGCTCCTACCTACTTAAACCACTCGTTGGCCACCCTCAGTACGTTGTGTGGTTCTCCGGGATCTCCTACAGAACGCATCGGTGCCCCTCTGTACCGCATGGACACGCTTCGGGGAAGAATGAAGCCTCGCCAATCCCCGGATTGCTTTGCGGTTAAGGCAACTTGCCGGTTGACCATAAACCTACTGTCTCCTTTTAGTCGCCTTTTACGACAGGTAGCGGTTATCTTGAATAAAAAAATAAATATTTTAGGACACATTTTTTTACAATTTTGTCTAGTCCCAAACTAAGCAACGCTTGTACTATAGGTATTAGATCACTGACAAACATATTTAAACATACTTGTCTTTTTGTAATTAAATACATGTTATACAGATATAAACACCCAGTATTGGGAATCGAAATCACCCAACCCACTACGTCGTTCGGATCGTCACCTTTAGCCCTATTCTATAAGCCTATAAGAGACTGTAGGGCGCTTTAGAGAATGAAGTATCTTAGCATATAATTAGTAATGTAAAATCTATTTGAAAATAATTCAGTTTATAAGTATTTTCCTTATCCTAGAATATGAAACGAAGTTCTCAAAGCAGTTTTGTAAGTAGTTTTGCTATTTCTAAATACACATATCAAAAAGCAAAGGTATATTTATTTTTCATCACAGGAAAGAGAGTATTTACTACCGTTTCAACGAAGGTGGGATCCAGGGTCTTCGTTAGCGGGGGAACCCATGGTCGGATCTTACCCAATGCCATCTTGTATGGGCGCCCCCATGGGTCCCTATCTAGACCCTTGAGGAGCGCGCTCCAGGACCGAGACTTGGCATCCCCAATTGCTTGTTGGAGTGCTTTCGTAGCGTCTCTATACTCCTCATAAGCTCTTGCCTTATCGTTGGCAGTAGCTCGCCTTCTTCTTTGGGTTCTGGTGTATCGTCGTCGAGCTCGCAAGCAATTGTCACGCAGCCGTGCAATGTCTTCCGTCCACCACTAAACTGCCTTTGGATGAGAAGACCTGGCCCGGGGCATCGATACATCGCAAATCGATGTCATCGTTGCCGGAACCAAGCTGCCTCCACTTCCGGATCAGGTAAGACATGACTAGCTTGGGCCTCCGGCCAGGTAGCAACGATGGCTGCAGCTTCGAGTAGATATGTATTAAGCTGCTTGAGGGACCACCATCGGGGAAGCCCGCTACTGCCGTGTTGGTAGTTACCTGCGGGAGGGCGGAGCGCCACATCGAATACGATGTGACGGTGATCTGAAAGCGTGACCACTTCCTCCGCTACCCTCCATCCTGAAACCAAGCGCGTAGCGGAAGCGGTGGCCCATGATAGGTCTACAACTGACTCTACCTGCCATCGTACACGTGTACTAACGGATCCCCTATTCAAAAGTCGGAGGTCAAAACCCGCCGCCCATTCCTGTAAGGTCTGCCCCCTTGCATTATTCCGGTTGGACTCTCAAATATGCCCCTACGATGCGCTGCAAGTAATCAGGCACCCGGTGGAAAGTAAGAGCCTCCCTGATAGTTCCCCAAGGTAGCATATTAAAGGCATAATGTCAAGACTGCCCGCTGTTAATGCTCTCGGACACGAATAATCGCGTCCACAGTTGACCTCGCTTGCCGAAAGCCAATCTGGCAGTCCGACAAGTTGGGGCCTACTTGACGTAGGTGCATTATGAGGCGGTCGGCAATAATTCTTTCGAATAGTCATCCAGCAAATAAATGGGTCGGAACGCAGAGGGAGCGTCAGCAGTCCTGCCATCCTTCTTTAAGAGCACCAATCTGACTGCTTCCAGCATGAGGGAAAAATACCGACGCTGAGGCCGCTGTTGAAAAGTCGCCTCAGTCTCCCCTTTAGTCCAGCAGCGAGAGCTAACACCCACACCCGACCATGAATATCATCAGGACCTGGTGCGGTGTTACGAATTCTAAGCCGCTTGATGGGCCGGTCCATCTCCTATTGAGTCACTTCCAAATCATGAGACTAGTCGGTGTGCTTCAACATTATGGTGGGGGGGCTCTGGGTTTTCCTGAATCAGAGGGAAGAGCGTATTTATTTATTTATTTATTTATCACCAACAAAGTAAACACTGTGACAGAAGAATTATACAAGATAAGCAAAAAAGTGATGAGTGGTACCTTAATTATAGGTAAAAACTACTTTACAACAGGCAGTGGAGATAAAAACCAAAAAACTTTTACAAAACTAAATGTGAAATACGAGCATTACAATAATACAAACATTAACTAAAATACGGTTAAAAAAGGAAAAAAAGCAGAATAAAAAAAAGTTACTAAAAAAAAAAACATGTTAAAATAAGCAAAAAATATCAATCAGTATCAGTATCAATCACTCATCCCACAAAAGTTACATCCAGAGTCTCCGTCAGTGGAGAGACCCATGGTCGGAGCTTGCACAATACAATCTTGTACGGGCGCCCCCATGGATCCCTATTAAGATTTTAGAGAAGTTCGCTCTAGGGCCGAGCCTCGGCTACTTCGATCGCCTTTTGGAGAGCCTTTGTCTGAACGCCTAGAGGAAACTTATACATCATTCTATTGGTTTATTATATGTATAAGGAAGAAGCTGCTGCTGAACTAGGAACTGCTAAAATAGGCTGAAGGCGTAACATTTCCGACAGAAAGACAGATATACATATAAATTATAGCTTATGTCTTATTCTGATGTATAAGGTATATTTTTGTAAAGTTTCATTAAAATCCATTCAATAGTATTTGCGTGAAAGAGTAACAAAGATCCATCCATACATATAAACTTTCGCCTTTATAATAGTAGTAAGGATATTACTTTTAACTTTTAAAAGCTTCTCGCTGTGATTTATTATATTTTTTTTACAAAAATTTTAGACCTTGCAATCCCTAATACTTATATTGTCTGAACGCCTACAGAAAACTTATACTTACATCATTCTAGTATTGGTTTATTATATAAGGAATATTAGTTTAAACGCTGATAAAAACTGTCAGCATAATTCTCGTTCTCATGAAAACATTTAAAATTTAGATATGTTTACTTACTTACGCTTTGTTTACTAAAAATAATCATATGCATTATAGAATGAGTTTTCTAACTTCAACCATGCGACAAGCGAGAAAAAGAAACACACGCGAAAGCTTAGTAAATACGACAATAAAAAACATCGAAAACAGATTAGAAACCGTGGAGATTAAACGAGATTAGGACATTTTTTTTATGCGAAAAGTTGTCAAACGAGCAGACGGTGATTACCTGATGTTAAGTGAATACCGCCGTCCATGGACATCTGCCACACCCAAGGGTTACAGATGCGTTGGCAACCTTTTGAAAATTAGGCTCTGGTTACCTCACTTACCACACGGAACGCGAAAGTATTTGTCATACTTCCACTTTACGCTGGTCTTCTGTGAGGTCGTGGTACTTACCCGGACGGGCCTGCCCATTCGTGAAACAGCCGAGGCTGCTGCGTGGCCCTACCACCGTTAAAAATTACTCTAAGTATAGAATTGATACTGACTGAGTTGAATAGCAGAGATCAGTCGTCCTGTAGGAAGGACGTAGAGATGAAGCGCATTCCGCAAGTAAAAGGAGTGAATTTGCTAAATATCGTTTACGAACTACGGCGGGATTATACTTGAATATACTAACGGAAAAGGATATCGAAAATAATATAAAAACTGACAAATTTATGAATAAGTATTTTTGTATTCTTCTTATTGTTATCTAATATTGAGAACCATAGAACGATTGGGTATGTATATGTATACAGATCTAGATCTTTTGCTTTCTTAATTAAGTTAAATCTTAGTATAGAAACAGTACTCTTTACTGAAACACAACTTCTTATACATAAACAAACTGCATAAACTTGGGCAATATTAGCTATTGATTTAAACATTATTCTTAGATGTCTACTGTTTGGTAGTAATTGTGATTATTTTGGTTATCTCAATTACTTTACTTGAATTTACATTAAATTCCTAAGTTTTCTCTAATTTTATATTTAGTACTTGTCTGTAAACTAGTCTGAAGGTATCTTTTTATCTTTACTAATTATATAAACGCGAAAGTTTGTATGTATGGATGGATGTTTGTTACTCTTTCACGCAAATACTACTGAATGGATTTTAATGAAACTTTATAATAATATATATAGTTTATACATCAGAATAAGACATAGCCTATAATTTATATACATGTTGCCTTCAGCCTATTCTACACGGACGTATGTAGCAGCTAGTGGTAAATATATTAGGCCGAATGACTATAGGAAAAAGGTGTTTTGTACTAAAATACTTTTCATTATACTCAAGAATTTTTTTCGTAACAATTGGCTGTAAAATTTGTTAACACATTATAGACTTTTATACCCATTGTATAGTAAGGATTGTAAACTCATTCCTTACATCTGTTATTTCATTCACTTTGTGCGTGAACTTTTAACGCAATTTATTTATGCGACGGGTGCAAACTTGACAATTTCATATATCAAATCAATTTCTTCGATGTGATAGTTATACACTAAGACCATTTCTGGTATCCAGCTCTCTAGCTCGGGACATTGTAAGCATGCATTTTTTTTTAATTTGACTTTGAGGCTCAGCAAAGCGTTATTTGCGTCACAAATTACGTCAAACGCTGACTAATAGTCCTGCTGAATCCATAGCTCGAATTACTGATAACGACGGGTCATAAATTTATGACAACATTCCACTAGATGGAGTGACGACCTGTGCAAATGTGTGGGAAGTCGGTGGATGCAGGTGGATCAAGATCGTAGCACTCTGTGGGGGCGGCCTATATTCGGCAGTGGAATCTAACAGGCTGAAATGATGATGATGAGGATAAATGGCATAAAACTTATGGAAACAGCCTAATCATCTCTCATAGCTGAGTATAGACTTCCTTTGTGCAAAGGGTATTAGGGCATAGTCCACGACGTGAGCCTATTTTTTCTAATACCTATTATTTCGAAAATATACAGGTTTCCTCATAATATTTTCCTTTACCGCTGAACACATGCCAAGTTAGCACAATATCGCCATTAACAATTTAATGTCTGCCGCCACCGGATTTGAACTCGGGTTGCGTCGGAAAGACTGAGCTAACGCGCCTGATAGAATATATTGTTTTTTTTGTGAATTGCAGGTTTCCCGCATAAAATTATCACAAGTTCGCTTTATTAGGTCTGAATAATTATTATATATTCCATAAATACTTTAAGAGTTAATATAATCAAACATACTTGTAAAAATCAGCAAGTTATAAGTAGCACGTTCATCAAAAACTTCACTTTACAAACTGACTTGAGCACATTGAGGTATTGCAATGTAATGTAATGTGTGTAAATCTACAGTTGCGATAGAATGAAAGTAACATCATTATCATCACAACAAGTGATAGAAGTGTTTTTGAAAGTGTGTTATGACTCGAATGTGTTAGCTTTAAGGTTTTGATCAAGCTTAGGGAAAAATTATTTTCAGGTTTTTTGAAAAAAATCAGCAAATACAATTTTTTGTTCACATATTGTTTTGTTATGAAATCATCAATTAAACGAAGCAATAATAAAATAAAAGTGTTGTCATATAAGTAATTGACTGGCGCTAAGGTTTTTTATTTTCCTTCTTACTAATTTGACTCAGTAACTTATAAAAATGTTAGTTGAATACATGAATTTGTTTATTCAATAAATTAATAAATAGTTCTTTTGTGTTGTTGGTCAGCACCAATGCTAATTTTATTTCGTCTTTTTTACGTTAGATATTGTTTTAGTTATTTGTCAAACTTTTTTACAGGCGCTTTTAACATATAATTTTTAGGAAGCGTAACATAGGTACTTAGAATTCTATTATTACACATTTGTATATTACGTTTTATTTAGTTTTTTCCGTCTGCCTTTACCAGTGGTAACTTAGGTTCTATATTGTCGAAAGCTATAATTCATGATTAAAAATCGCCCTTTAAATAAAATGTCCATACTCTTACTTTGACTGTATATTTTTTGATTTGTTGATTGTTATTTGACATTGTTTGTGTGCGTGCTGCAAAAGAGAGGTCATAAGAGGGTCATAAGGTAAGAATTGCTTAAAAATTCGAAAAAACAACGTAGATGAAATAAGCTGACATTTTCATTCGCGTTTTTTTCAGTCGCGTCAAGCTAAACGGCTGATTGCAGCCGTTTAGCTTATTTGTTAAAGCGTCTAGGCGCGATTCCTTAGCGTTCGATTTGGCGGCGTCGAAAAACTTCGTCAACAACACTACAAATTTAATATATACAAATTTAATAAAACTACAAATTTAAATCTACTTAAGTTTGACTATCAATATTAAGAGGTCGTATGTTTAAAAACGTACACGGTGGATCGCGTGTTTTTTATTTGGACGTGAATGACCATGTCATTTATTATGACATGCCCATGTTCTTGACAATCGCATGGAGCCAGGTAGTTAAGTTCTATGATATGTACTGAATATAGAATTTGGCCTAATTTTTATACCCGAAGTATAACAAACATATTGGTAGGTATATCAAATCTATCAATCACAAAAATTAACAAGTATAGTAGTGTGATATAGTAGAAAAGTTTGGTTTATTAATTTTTTATAGGTAGCATCAATTGTGAAACCTAAATATATTAAAGCCACTTAAATAAATAGTAAACACAATAATCTAGGGCAGAAAACATTTAATCAATAAGAATAATGATTACAATACATTGAGCACAACTAATACTAGTCTACAATGTCTCAAAACTAATGACCAATGCTGAAACTCGAGGCATTTAGTATGCAAACCGTTGAGTTTCACTAAAGCCTAATTTATCTAACGCTGGATTACAAGCAAAGTTAATCATAGGCGGGGGTCCGCACATGAGGACAATGACATCATTGCTAGCAGGAAACATGTGTTCTTTGATCATCTCTTCATTAATAAACCCAGTACTGTACTTCCATCCTGAAAATTAACATGATTATTGTGTTTTTACCAAACTTCTTTCCCGATTACCGCTATTATTGCTACATTACCTAAATAAGCAACCTGGCACTTAAAAACTTGATAATTAATTCTAATGTCTACGGTCTACCCGGGTAAAAACCAAGACCTCAGAGAAGATCGGCGTGAAGTAAAAGTGTCATAATTCTGAGTTTCGTCTGGTGATTGAGGTAGCCAAAACCAATTTATTATAAGGTGGCAACGCATCTACAACCCTCCGGGTGTTTCAAATGTCGAGTAGAGGATAAACAATACTTTTCTACCATGTGTGTTTCTAAACATACTTGGTGAGAATCACGCATTATGTTCAGAAATTTTGGCAGGTATCAAATAAAAAAAAAAGATGAAATTGGATATTAATTATATACTTTTATAGGATTAATTCTTTTATGGGATAATTCTTTTATGGGATAATAATTTAAATACAAAGACAGTTAATGAGACACAGTAACCTTTTATACTGTAGACATTTTCATTATAAATGGATCACTAATAGGGACAGGATTCATTGTTTTTACTAAGGTACATTATACATAAATAAAATGAAAAGCACATCCACATACCTTCCTTCGGTCTGTCTAGTGTGTACCAAAAGTTGAACTGTGCAGGATGTTCCCTCTGGTATTTTTCAATTTCATCCCTCAACAAAATATCATCCTCTGTCTGATTAGCGAAAAGCAACCTCAATTCTGTGTTATCATTTGAATCCTTGCATATGTGTCTAATGAGTTGTAACATTGGAGTGACACCAGTTCCTCCTGGAAAATTTTATAGAACAACAATATAAGTAGGAATTTTTATTCAGAGCATACTCTGCGGGATTTCAGTACCAATATTTAATAATGCTATATTAATAGTTTACATATGAATGGATGAAGACTGTGTAATATACATTTACATTTATCTTCCAAGTTGCCAAGGTAATGGCTACGGCATCGGGGGTCGTGGGTTCGATTACCACACGGAACAACTATTTGTGCGACCCACATATAGTTCTTTTGCATCTGGGTATTTGTAAAATGTCCTTACAACACAGGATAATGTTATCCTAAAGAGAGGGCAATGTTTTTGAAGAAAAAAAACTAGAATGATGTCTGTATGTAGTTATTTTACAGAGAATATAATGTGCATATTGACTTGATAAGCAATAATCATAATAAAATAAGTGTCATGTTGTATAATACAAAACAAAGACATTATCACCCAAGTTTTATAGAAACACAGCCCGGATATAAATTATTTCAACTGAGTACAGTCGTTTTGGGTAACTTTGCGGTTTAACTTTGAACAAAGTTGTGAAAAAGATTTATTACACAAACACTGTTTTGTGTTTCAATATCGTAACTGCGTAAAACGATCGCCAAAATGTTTTGAAATAACGAAAACCAAAAAAAAAAAAAACTTTTAATGCAATAATTTGGCAAATTTCCTGCCTTTTCCATGGTGCAGTTGTTGGAAGTGTTTGTTGGTCTGATTTGAAATTGTAATTAAAAATACAAAAATTACTGTAGACAGTTATTTTTTGGTTTTTATGTTTAAAAAGTAGTTTATATATTATTAATTTCCAATCATTATCCAATCATTATATAATATTAGAGATTGTGTAAAACTGATATAGTTTAGACAATGCTCAAAATCTATATATGTATAACATTGGGCATTCAATGTTACACATAATATGTGTAACATTGAATGCCCGAAAGAGGGCTAAGTCACAGAGAAATGGTCGAGAATTTCTTTGATAATATTAAAATGGAAATAGAAGGAGTCCCATCAGAAAATATATACAACATGGATGAGTCGGGATTTCATGACGATCCTGGAATAAACATTTTGCTTTCTCGAAGGGTCTCTCGACATTCTGAAGTTATAAAAAACACTAGTAAACCATGTTGTACTGTGGTCTTTTGTGCAAATAATCGTGGTGAAGTTTTGCTCTATTTATAGGAAAGAAAATGTGGTCAGATTGGCTTTTTCAAGCTCCTTCAGGTACAAGAATGGCTGTGTTCAAATCTGGATAGATAGATTCTTCAATCTTTGAATAGTGGTTGCAAAGACATTTTATCCCACATATTGATAAGCAAGGTGACCAGAAGGTCCTGTTTTAGTTGAGATAATCTAAGCGCCCACATTTAATTACTAGTGATTACGATTTTGATCTTATTTAATAGCCAAATAAACATAATTTCATCACGTTTAAATGTAAATGTAGATGTAATTTTTAGAGATAAGTTTTTATTTAATGAAAATACGTCATATAATTTTACCCAAACCTTAAAATATTCGAATAATGATGGTTTTTACATCCTAAAAAAATTATATTCAAAGTTACCCCCAAACTCGCGATAACTTTGAATTTGAGTTTGGTGGGAAATTGTGAATAGTCTTGTTTTTCCGTAAATTTATTGTGTCGGCAAAATAAATCAACTCAAAAGGACACTATTCATTAAATAAAATAAAGGTGTAATATTAGGTTGGGGAATTCTTTTCGCAAATAGAATGTATGTACTTATAATATAATTTCTTTGGCTATACCATTTGCATCTGGCTTGTTTTGGTATCATTAAAAAGTTTAAAGTTTAAAAAAGATAATTCCAAATTCATATAAGAAAATGTGTGATTTTCATTTGTTTTTCTTACTGTTAAGATGATTCATTCTAATGAAGAAATTCGATACATTTACAAATTTGGTTTTTGCGTTTTCAATCCGGAAATTATGATATCAAAGATGCACCTCACTCTGGGCGCCCTGTTACGGATAAAATGGATGCCATTTTTGAAAAAGTGGAGCAAGATCGGCATATCAGTAGTTTCGATGTAGAACAGAAGAACAGGGAATTGACCACAAAACAGTTTTGTCGCATTTGAAAAAAGCTGGGTACACAAAAAGTTATTTGGAGTAAGATATTTGGGTACCTCATGAGCTTACTGAAAGAAACCTAATGAACCGTATACTCATTTGTGCTTCTCTATTATGAAGTAATGAAACCGAACTGTCTTTGAAAAACATGAAACTGGTGGTGAAAAGTGGATCACGTACGACAAGAACGTGCGAAAAAGGTCGAGGTCAAAGGCTGGTCAGGCTTCACAGACTATGGCAAAACAAGGTAATGCTGTGTGTATGGTGGAATTGGAAGGGCTTTATTCATTATACGCTATTACCGCCAGACATGACCATTGATTTTGAACTTTATTGCGAACAACTGATGAGATTAAAGCAAGAAGTTGAGAGAAAGCGTCCGAATTTTATCAACAGACGGGGTGTGATTTTTCATCATGATAATGCTACACCTCACACATATTTATTCACTCAGCAAAAATTAAGAGAGTTTGACTGGGAGCTGTTAATGCATCCGCCATATAGTTCTGACCTTGAACCTTCAGATTTCTACTTGTTTCGGTCTTTTCAGAATTCTTTAGGCAGTGTCAGGTTAACATCACGAGAGGACTGCCAAAACCTCTTGTCGCGGTTTTTTTGATCAGAAGCCCCAGAATTTCTATAGTAATGGGATCATGTCCCTACCTACAAGATGGCAGAAAGTTATCGAACACGACGCCACCTACATACTTTAGTTAAATTTAAATAAACTTTATTAAAAAATGTTTTGAATTTTTATATACAATGCAAAGAAACTTTTTCACCAACCTATTAGATATAAATCAGATTGTAATAGCATAAATTCTGTAAAAAATGTTCAAAGTTACCCAAACTGACGTTATTCATTATACAGTTTAATTAAAAACACTGTAATTTGATGTCATGGAATTTAATCTTTCTGGCTATTTAATGTATCATCAGTCATAGGCGCTAGGTGAGATTACAATAATGATGAAAATGATAAGCAAATATTTGAATAAGAATTGTAGGTATATGCTTTTTGGTGCAGAATTCTACAATCTAACACAAACTGTATGTAGTGTGTTGACAATCTGGATATGCATTGGGCCTGGTGTTGTTCAGCCATATAACTAGATTTAAGTGTTTAAACAATCATAGTCAATACTGTTTACACTATCAAATAAAATATTAAAAATATGTTAACTACCTGCAATCATGTTTAATTTCTTGACATTAACCGCAACAGGTGGGTCTTTCCTCAGTTTTTTTATCAAGAAAGTACCCTTGCCAGCATATTGGAGACGGCCCGATGGCCCTCTGAAGTCAATAGTGTCACCTATCTTCATATTATCCAGATATTGTGACAATTTTCCACCATCGGGGAATTTCGGATGTACATTTTTGAAATATACCTGTAGAGAAAGATGCTTGTAAATTTGTGATTACATTATCTTAATCTAGGCTCGGTTGTAGGTTTGCCTTTGAATTGAACCTACAGCTAACATCAGTTAAGTATTAAAATTGTTATATATTTTATCTATTTTGACCATATTACCACAGTTTTAGTTGCTATAAAACATAGCCCCAATTGAACATACCTGACATTTGTTGACCTTTATAAATATTAACAATAAAGTTAATTCTTACAAATAAGTTATAATGGTTTATTAATTATGAATGCTAACTTTATAACATATATCACATGAACAAAAACATTCTTGATTGTTACATCATTTACAAAAGAATTAAATGGTAAAATGTTCACAAACCTTAATTACAAGATCTACATAACCTTTATCCTCATCACTTGACACTGGAGTGTATGCTCTGATAATTAAGTCATCTTCAATTTTAACTGATAAGTGTATGTGTTGGCCTATTGGTAATCCTGTATCAATAAACATGTTAGTTTTGATTTTACATTTGAATTACTTATTGATAGAAAAGCAGCTTTAATTAAACTAAAATTAAATTTAATGCAAATTACATGGAAAACTGTCATGTAATTTGGACCAATATGAAAAATATTGTTAAATAACCAACCTAGAACATGCTCAGATGATGGCAAACCAAATCTGAATCGTCTTGTATCATGGTTTATCTCTTCCCTTTCTATAAGAGGCAGAGGATATTTCGTATTTGGATCCACAAGAGCTACAAGTTTTTTGCTAGGTTTTGATTTTTTTCCCCACAAACAGTTGGCAATAATAGTAAGCAAAACTACTGCAGATCCTACACCTGCTATAATAGGAAATACCTGAAAAATGTACATGTAATAAAAATATAAGATCTATTGTATATTTATACTGAAGTCATGCATGGCATAATTGATTTCAAAGGATTTGGGAGGTCACTTTTAAAAATGCATAATCTTTTAAAATATAACGTTGAGGTATACATACTGGTGCATTCTCCAAAAAATCAATTACAGCCACTTTTAAATTGTTCATGACGCCTCAACGAAAAATAAATTAAAACAAAAGTAACAGTACTACAACAGAGCACTTCGAACGCTTAAATAAAAGTGAATTCGTAAAATGAATGCCAATAGAGCGTTGGTTCCCAGTAAACGCTGTCGTATATGTTGAGTTTGATTATTTCTTCGAGCCATTCAGATTGCGATTCTAACAAACGTTGAAGATTTGTTTCGCCTTGAACTTGATTATCTCCGCGACAAATGATAGACATGTTGAGAAAAAAGTATATTTTATCAACAGATCAGCACTGTTGGTTAAAAATCACCACAATAAGTCGCTACCGATTAAGCTACTGTTCACAAAAACGTCATGCCATGACACTTTATAAAGATATACATAATAAGCACGTTAATTTTATACTTACTACACTCATCTTGATACACCAAAATGTTGTAACCGAGTAGTTAATAATTTTATACAATCTAAAGCTAACTTACCTTTTGTTATTATCAGTATTCGATAAAAGACAATATATTGCTTGGCCTAATCACTACGATCTGTGCCTATCTTTTTAATACCTAACCTAACAAAAATGATAAAATATACTTACTAGTTTGGTATTTATGTTATGAAACATCTTATATGAATGTTTAAGTATTGATAATTACTGAGACACAATAAAACAGTTCTTTCATCAACTATTAAAAGAATGAAATGAAGTACGGAAAAATGTACTGTGGCTTGTGCGGAATTTATTTTGGTTTTCCTGTCGTCAGCTGTGCTAGTTCGTTTGTGAATTCTTTGCAGATGAATGTGCCGGTGGTTAGTAAACACGATAGATATTTAACTACACTGCAATAAATATGATCACATTATGTACATATGTAAAAATAGGCAAATAAAATTTCTCTGCTCATATTAACTCAGTCAAGGAATATATTTTCGTTTATTATAAAAACTAGTTGTTGCCCGCGATTATGTCCGCGTGAATCTCGGAATTCTTGCTTACTCGAAAGTTGAGTTTTGAAAACACATTTGTATTTTTATTTCTACATTAATGAAAAGTATCTTGATCTTGGGCTCCGTAGATACTTAGGGAACTCCTAAAAATCAATTATAAAATTAATACAGAAATATCGGTTTTACGGTGGCAGGGCCACGCAGCAGGCTCGGCTGTTGCACGAATGGGCAGGCTCGTCCGGGTAAGTAACACAACTTCACAGAAGACCGGCGTAAAGTAGAAGTATAATACTTCCGCGTTTCGTCTGGTGAGTGAGGTGGCCGGAGCCTAATTTGAAAAGGTTGTTAACGCATCTGCCACCTTCGGGTGTAGCAGATATCCATGGGCGGCGGTATTCACTTAACATCAGGTGAACCGTCTGCTCGCTTGGCAACTTTTCACATAAAAAAAAGACTGGCGCAAGAGACAGGTTCACTATGTTCTACGCCAATCGGTCAAATATATTAGAATTAAAAGATTAAAAAATATATCTCAACCATCCACGACATATAGAGAAAACAATCACTTATAATCAGGAATGAACGCAAACTGCTCATTGTTAATACCAGCACAAAAAAGCCATGAGTAATATATTGAATAATGAATAGTAGTAATATCATACTGAGATTTTTTTTGTATTTTCACCAAATACATGACAAGTTATTTGTTAAAGGATATTTAGTTGCACACTAAGATGCTTATATCAATACAGGCGCGTTGTTCGTGTGATATTTTGGGAGTTTTAAGCATGCACGCGAAGTATTGTCGCCGGATTAATCGCGTTGCAAGAGCTGTATTTTATATAACTGATATTACGCTTTTAGTCCTTGCCTATTAAAGCTTCATCGAACGCAGAGCTGGTGGGCTAGCCAGAACCCACGGGCTTGAGGCCCTTCTCAGTAGTAGGGCCGCGCCTGTACTCATGTAAAAGGTATTGTTTGCTACGGGCCCAATTAGACAAAACATATTTGTTTAATTCTTACTTCTTCTCTTGAATATAAATAGTTGTCGAGGGAAGGTGATGTACAGATATGGAAGGAAGATAGGTATGTACCCATCTTTACATCTGTGGGTACACTCTTAATACACATGTTTTTTTTTTATATGAGGAAGTGGCAAACGAGCTAGCGGTTCACCCGATTAAGCGGTAACCGCCGCCCATGGACCTTTGCGACACCTGTAGGGTTGCAGATTCGTTGCCACTTTTAAATAGAGTGGGCCCCGGCTACCTCACTCACCAGACGAAACGCAGAAGTGTAACACTTCTACTTCACTTCTCTAAGGTCGTGGTACTTACCCGGACGGATCTGCCCATTTCGTGGCCCTACCACAGTATATTACCACAACATGTACACGCAATATTAAAATTGTGCCTTACTCCATATTCAAAATTATAAAACTATTTTAAGATAAGTAGTTATCCGACTCTTTAAAAGTACATTTCAGTGTAATTAATTTTGTTGGCAAATTTATATAGAATTTGACCTCTAAAATGACTACGTGATCGTCAATTGAAATTGCAGCCTCATACTATCAGATATATCTATCCTTTTTGAGGTTCAGACATTTTTTTAATTATGTTTCTTCATTTATATAGTTATATTTATCCATTCCTACATTATGTTCTCTGTTCTCGAAACACTGTCCGCATTTCCGCTTTTCTACAATTCATAATTGTTACTCGGTTTTTAGTTTCATATAAAGTAACAATAACTATTTATATAATTGTAATATAACTACTTATACAATATAACTACTAATATATATATATATATATATATATATATATATATATATATATATATATATATATATATATATAGTTATACAAAAATAAGAATGTTAAAACTAGATAAGAGTGGAACAATAAAGAATTTTACACATAGCCCTTCATTAAAATGGATGATGACGTTAATAATAAAAATAATCTATTTTCAAACAGTAAGTAAGCAGTATTAAAACTAATATAAATTATGAAAATACTGGAAACAGAATCGATTGTGTTGATCTTAAATAGATAAAGTTGTACGTATTGAAAACGTCATTGTAATTATAAGACAATCGTTAATGATAACATTAATAGCATAGTTTTTATATCATAATAGTATAAAAGAGCCACGTGAGGTGGAAATGAATACAATATGTTTGCAAAAGATTAACGGACGGAGTTTGAGAGGTGAAGGTTAAGTGAAGGACAAAGTGTTACGTACGACACATTATTATACGATGTGAATATTCGTAATAAAGTCTCTGTGATTAGCCATCTGCTGCCGAGGCGGGCCTCTGTACAGTGGGAAATCAGAAAATCGGAACTCGAAAAAGGATAACGGATTGAAAATTCGGGTAAAAAGGAAATAATGATGGGATGAGGCGTATAGAAATCTTTCTATGGTAAAATTAGTTAGCAATTTTTAGTATTTAGATTTTTCGTTGCTTATCAAAGTACTATAAACAACAACAGATATATAAATACGTGCTACGAAGTGCATACACACGCGGCACGTGATCATGATAACGAAAATTTTAATTAAATTATTATCTTTTGAGACACTGTGAGATGAATGAAATTGGGGCATTAATAACCCCGTATTTTTTTATTAATCATTGTATTCGTTTTCATAATTATTTTTCCTTTTTTTTAAATCGGAAACGGGTGCAAACGGGCGAGATGAAAATTGATCAACGCCGCCAATGAATATCTGCAACATCGGAGGGTTTGCACTAAAATGCGTAGCCTTTTAGGAAAGAATATGGTCTTCTTGAAGGTTCCCAGGTCGTAACGGTTCGGAAAGACCTGGTGGTTCCAGAGAGTGGTTGTACGAGGCAGGAAATGGCTTGAAAATCGCGCTGTCGTGGAATACTGGACATCGAGGTGGTGTGGTGAAATTTCTGGTTTTGGCGCGATGTCCGATGACGGAATTCAGCAGCCGAGATCAATCCAAACGATTCCTCGGAACACCCTCCGTGCTAAATGCGGAGTGAAAGATGTGACTATATAATTACATTATAACATTGTGCTGTGGAAAATGAAGTTTTAGGCCAATGATGTTGCGCTTCACATTATATGATATATATGAGTGAATGTGACACATGACATAGAACGAATGATACGGAAAGAGATAGCAGTCTATAGATTTACAATCTAATTAGACCAATTGGTCTAATTTGACTACTTCAGTTTCGGTATTTGTATATAATATCATTGAATATAGGCTGATTTTCAAGTCTAATTGGACGTCAAAATTAAGTATCACCGCTTCAATAATTTCTACCAGTCCAGAGAAGAACCGGCAACGTGCTCTGCGGCTATAAAAAAAACCGGCATAAAATATATTAGCGCTAGCTGTTTAGGAGGAGTTCAGCTGACATTACACTGTACACACGTACAGAAGAATTATATATATTTAAAGAATATATACAGATTTGTAAAGTTTAATACCAGCCGGAGCCAGGGGATATGCAAGTGCAAAGCAAGAATTACTTTTTTCCACACATCCTTATCTTCAATATATTCTTGGACATCATAATAGGCCCGTTCCATAAGGGTAGCTTTCACAAAATATACATAGACCTTGCAATTCACCTGTCTATTCAGCACTTTGGTTGTAAAAAATCGTATCTGTATACATATCAAGGTGTCACTTGCGAGCTGGTATCGAGTTTCTCTATATGTATAGGAATTGACCTAATCACGCATTGCTGTGGCTTATTTTATTATACATTAATCTTATATCATATTTGACTATTCATCACAACCTTATATTTTCTTATCATTTTGAAGATTTGTAATTTAGAACCATATTTACCTACGCGATAGCCCAGTGTCCGGCTTTTAATTCCATGTACTCGAGCAATTTTAAGTGATGACTTATCACGTGTTAAGCCGTGAAGGAAAAGATTGTGCGGAAACCTGAAAATTTTCGAATTAATTACGTAAAAATATTTCGAATGCATGTGAAGTCTGTCATCCGACAGTGAGGTCGCGTGTCTTGCGCAGCCGTTGGACAAATAACTGTAAATGCTGTTACTTTAAATTTTTAAACGGTTACTTAGTCTATCGCAGTAAAGTGAAGAGGGCTAAATACCTTTCTACCATCTCCAAATAGGTCACATACAGTTTACTGGGCAATGTGCTGACGAGAGCATTGGTGCTACTTACTAGTCTGTTCTAGTCATAGACGCGGCGTGATTGAGCATGTTTGCATGTATCGAACGAGCAAGGCGCAATGCGCTAAATGCTGTCCGTTCACAGACTGCAATTGAAAAAGATTGGCAGTAAGCTCTGAACAGAGTTAATTTTAGCATACTTACGACTTACTTCTGAAACACTGATCATCGTAGAAGTCAACTAACCAGCTGTCAAATGGATTTTCAAATGTTATTTGAGTTGCCAAAAGGATTGTTAAGCTCTTTGAATTGATCATTCTGATAATTATGAAGATCTTTCTGATCAACAAACACATCAATTAATCTACCACTTGGTGGTGTCGTGATAGCTCTTTGTGCGGGCGCTTGCTTTTATTGAATATACTCAAGAAATTGTTGTGCTGCTGATGTTACTTTGACTATTCTCAGGTTGAAATTTAGGAATAACTTCAACGTTATATTGATAAGAGCGTAGAGCGTGTCCCGTGCTATTTTATAGTTGCCAGAAGGAAAAAGTTTAATTTCTTCTCTACCTTAGACCTTTCATCCCTTTTTTCTAGCCCCACTTCAGAGAGGTAATAGACAAAAAGATGAATTAAGTCCGAGCTTCAATACTCCAGAGTTGATGAGCGACTGAGCTTTGCTCTGCGTTTTTTTTGTATAATGGTCACATTTTTGTTATCGATTTATAAACTAAATATTATGAGCAGTAAAATTAATCGTAACAAAGTTATTATAATGTAACAAACACTGATATAAGCGATAAATTATGTATTACAGAACTCTTCCAATGTATTACTATAATTAAATCCTATTTAGAGAAAAATAAATTAATAGTACAATGTAATTTTTTTTTATTTCTTTATGTTTAAGGGACTTTTGCGTAATATGCATAAGTCCCTTAAACATAAAGAAATAAAAAAAAAAAAAAAAAAAAAAAGTACAATGTAATGTTGGTCGCAACATTAAATATAATGCTTTAAATAATTTCGATGACAATTTTTTATTGTCCGAGATACATATGAAGATGTTTGACTGCAGTTGACTTATTTTGCTTTAAGAGATTGATAATATAATAAATTGATAATATAATAAACGAGATACCATCTTTCTGCGATCGGTTATAATATTGTAAGATTCAATGACGAATCAAACAAAAAAGTAATATTGGATTTCAAATAAAAACAATAGGCCATAGAAAAATATTTAATTATAGGATAATACACTCCTTGTATTACACGTTCTTTGTGACTTTGATATGTTGATTCGATTTTTTATGAACTGAAACTAGCTAGGTTTCATTTATTTTTGTAAATATAATGATTAAAAAAATAACAGTTAATTACAATAAAAGTATTTCTAAATGTTGTAAATCACAGTGTTATTTAATACATGCATATGAGTATACTAATTTGACATAAAAATTATATAGACCGGTGTTCTAAATTGCGCTATAAACATAGTGAATGTTACAACAGCCTGGTAAAGAACCACCCAACAAACGTTATTTTAAATGCTAAGATTTATTATTTCCCTGATGCTCTGCATAACACCCGTGACAAGAACGAACATTCCGAATACGATGAGCAAAACATCTTTAATAAGGACGTAGTTGTATCTCCCCAGGTCCCTCTCCCAGCAGAATATGAGGTGTATTAACGAAGGCGCGATGAGGCCCAGGAACGAGTAGAAAAATGCTCCCTCCAAACCGATGACTTGCTCGAGTTGCGGCAACGTAGCCGCCGCGATCACTATCAAAAGAAAAAAAGGTTAGTTTCTTTTACTTATAGTAAGAGGTAGTCTACTTTGAAATAGGATATTGGCGAGATTATTCCGACACATTATTATCATTACTAGTTGCTTTACTTATTTATTAATTGGGTAAAATTATTTGATATAAAATAAATTGTAATTCACATATATTTTAGCTGTTCACGTCATAAAGACCAAATTGTTCTTTTGTTTAAATTATTCAAAAAATGTTCCAGAATCTAACGCCCGGTTTCTGAAAAACTGATCATCGTAGAAGTCAACTAATCAGCTCTCAAATGGCTTTTCAAATGTCATCCTTTTGGCAACTTAAATAACATTTGAAAAGCCATCTGACAGCTGATTTCTACGAAGATCGCTGAAACCGAGTGTAAGAGTTATTAAATACCTTTAATTATAAATGAGCTCTTAAGAAAAGTCAGTTTTAATAGGTTAAAATTACAATGTTCATTGTTTTTGACCTTTGTTCTTGACTAATTATGAGTATCTAACGTTTTTCTTTTCTCGTTGTGAGCGGAATTTATCTCGTGTTGCTACCCAAGACTCGTACTTAATGTACAAATTGTGGTTCACGATAAAGAGGTTGCTAACATGCAAACTGCTCACCCAATAGCAAGATAACACCATCGCTCAAAAGAATACGTGATATTTTAAATTTTTACGTTACAGAGATGGTCTATTACTTTGAAAAGTGAAGGAACCTCATGATTGAGCTTCCTTTTGTTTCAACAATCATTAATCTCAATCGCAATCTTTCCAACTTGAACTCCACCCGATAAATCCGGCGCACATCTATGGTGCCTTTAAAAGTTAAAGGTTAATATAAGGTTATCAAGTAAGTTAGAACACGCGAGAGATCGTTTTAGTCCATGTTATTTTCATCCGATCTTACCAGTCAGAACTGCGAACGCTGCCCTCATAATTGATTGCGCGTAATTGTGATATTTTTTCGAAACGTATTGGTTCGTGTTACGCCACACGATTTCCATCGGCACGTAGAACTGTAGCGTGTAAGTGAAGAATATAGCCACGATAATAAAGCACTTCGCCATCAAGGCCGGGCTGTGGAGCGATGTCGATTATTAAAAAAAATATGCAAAACAAATGTATTAGTACACTACTTGTGTAATACCCAATGGTAAAATTACGCTAAAGGATGAACAATTAGAAATAAAGAATAAAATAGAACGCGAAATAAAGTTCTACAATTGAAACAGACCATGAATGCTGTAAAGCTTTTTCTCGTGTGTTTATAATAAAATAATATTTACAATGACTATAGTAAAGGTACGAGTACTTCACGCCGTAACAATTAAATATGATAATTAATAGATTTTATTATTTATTTAATCTTCATCCGTAATTTTATTAGAAGTGGTTGTAATAATATTAACGGGAGCAAAATTAACGTCCAAAAGTCTCCAACTTACATTTCTTTAGTTGGTAGATTGAGTGTTATGCTCCCTGCAGCTTCATCGCCATAGCGAATGTATCCTAGGAAACCCATCGTCATATAAAGTAGAATCACGATAGACATGGTTATGTTCAAAACACCTGGACATCCGAGGAAGTGTTGAGGCTTTTCCATTGTGTTCTCAACTGGCAGCACTACGCCGATTCCCTCCATTGCGAATATAACTGTACTGAAAAATATGAAAAAAGTTTTCTTCCGGTTCTGGCCATTTAACACATGTTATGTAAAACCTAACTTTTTTTAAAAATATACATTTATTCAAATTATCATTATTCAGGTGTGTGTATACTCGTAGGCAAGAATGACAACGTGCTGTGTGTGTTTACGACCGGGACCCCAGTGGGTGGGGAATTCTTCCTCTTTCTCGACCTCTTTGGATTTAACGCGACTTTTACGAACGGTAGCGTTTGGATCTTGTTGCAGTTCTCTAAGGGGTTTTTGGCCCTTTCTTTGGATGATCTCCTTCTCCCAAACAGTGATTGCTATTCTACATGCCGACGCTTATATTCGGGCTAGTTCGCGATATCGATTGGAGTACGGTTTAAGAACCTTTTGTGATATATAAGGCGTTGAAGAGCAGTTGTTAGCTGAGTTATATTAAATTTGCAATCTGAGGAATATTCGGGCACGTTGTGATATTTTTTAGCTATACGGGTCGATGAGGACATTACGCTAGCAACTTCTGTAAGCAATCAAGTTTTGATCGAATTTATCATTTGCTCCGTTAAGCAATTGAGGGTTGTAATGAATCTTGGCCATTTCAAAGAACCGTTTTGTTAGGTATTTTAAATTATCAAAATCATTTGGGGTCCGCATATACTACGCAGGTCGACATTACTTCAAACTTTTGTTTATTCCAAATTAAAGGATCTTTTAAATGAAACATCATTTGAAAATATGGAAACGACTCCGACTTTGCAGTGGCATATCATTTGGCTACTCCAGATTCTACGATAATATTGTTTTCAAAAAGTATTCAAAAACCAAGGAATGTTATAAATATACGACAATAGAGTCTACTGTCTTTTTCACATTAATAACAGCTTAGAATAGCGGCTAAACTTTCAAAATGGTGTAGATAATACTACACAAAATATATATTATATATTTTTTTGTAAAAATATGTATTATATATTTTTTTGTAAAAATATATATATATATATTAATGTATTTTTCTAACATTGTAACGGCAGACAAGATATAGCCATTTGGTAACTGGAACTCACCCGATGAATAGCGGTAGCCTCTCTATGCCAACTGTCATAGGCCTGGAATCGATGCTGGGGAACTCGGCGCAGATGTAATACAGACATATGAGGAAGGTGGCGATCAACAATATATTGGCAAAGCCCGAAAAGGGAGCCAGGTATTTCAGGTTTTTAATCTGTGTGAATATCAGTATCGGCACCGTGAATATCAAACAGTATATCGTGTCGGTCAGCCCATTATCGATATAGTAGTATGTGACAATCTGTAGAAATAAAGTGAAATATTATCCAATAATGTATAACAAAGCATTTAAAGACTACGCCATGATGTTCGGTATTAAAAATATGCATTAAGTGTATTAAATTTTAGTTAAGTTGTTTTCTTGCGATTTTCTGTAATCGCACTTAGCTACTTTTCGGCCAACATAACCAAAGACAAATTAACTGGTTCGTTGTTCTAGCTCATACTGATTAGATATTGAATAAGTCGAACATTTAAGATTAACATCTGCGAATATGTTAATGATCTGTGCTCGAAATTGAAACTAAAGTTACGTTTGCCTGATGGTGTTTAATAGCAATTTTCGAACACCAAAAATTTATCATTTCATAACTCATAAAGTCAATAAAAGTAAGTAGATAATAGAATTTTGAACGTTGATGAAAATATTTATTGATTGTGTTGTTAATAGATTAATTTCTTAGGACTTTCCAAAGACAACTGGACCCAGAAAAATGATTACTTCTATCCCTCCTCTCTATCCTCTTATTCGCTATGTACAACGTCGCTATTGTTTTAGTTTAATTATAGATCTTTATATTTAGAATGTTGAATTAGGTGTAAAATCATTTTGTCAGCGGGCCAAAATACCTGTTTAACAGATTCCACAAGCAGTATAACATAGACAGCACAGGCGCCAAGAATGGTGAACGCCATTGCCCAGTCTATAAATATCCTGTAACACGTTTCAATAGCTTGTTCACACCATTGTTTTTATTATCATTTAACGAGTTTATTTTTAAAATTATTGACTGTTTACTATGTAATGTTATGTTCATGTGAGCTACGAGTAGAGAGTGCAACTTATTTATGATACTACTATTCCCATCGACTAATTTCGAAATAGTTTTTATACGATCTGTGTTAGCTCTGTGTTTAGATGCTCACTTTTAATTCAGCATATTTGGATTAATGTATTAAAAGCCGGTACAATTGAAATTTTATGTGCGTGGTTTACCACGTTATAGAAAACATCTCAAGTAAAACTTATTAGAGAGGTAATTAAATATATCTTCTACATGATGATGGTCATGGAAGACTGTTTGTGAGCAGATAATTGTTGCGGGTCTTGGCGTTTCTTCCCACAGAGGGTTGAAGTCACGCAGGCGTTCGGTCTTCTATTATTATGTGCAAGTCACTTAAAGTAACAGTCTATACATATCCACAGCTGGGCAAAGGCCTCCTCTGTGCAGAGTGTATTAGCGCAGAGTTCACCACGCGAACCCACTGCGGATTGGCGGACTTCATATATCTTCGAAATTTAATTTTTTGTTATTATTTCGAAAATATTTAGGTTTCCTCACGATGTTTTCCTTCAACGCTGAGCGAGCGATAACCAGCAATTAACATTTCATTGTCACCGGCACCGGGGATAGAACTCGGGTTGCTCGAGTATATTAAATTAAAGGCGAGCGCTCGGACACTGAGCTATCACGGATCACTCACACAAGCCACTTAAATTATTATATGTATGTTTAATAGATTTGTGGCACTCACCTTGCAGTTTTAGAAACTTTTCTTAAACATTGTGGGCCCGTTGCGAATACTGCCTCCACGGTTTCAGCGTAACCGAGCGCCGGGACCTTTGACACCCGTGATACTTCTTGCGACGTTTTTACCTATAAATTATTTAATATTTTAAATTAAAATTTGCAAATCTGCACCCTACATGAAACTTAAAATGAGAAACTCACGTTTAGTAGATAATAGATACACATTAAGTGGCGTCAAGCGTTGCTAAAATGCGATACAGAACAAAGATAATGTTAGCGCTACCCAGAAAGCGTATGTTTGAATCCTGGGCAGCGCCAAAAATTTTCGACAATTCTATTAGACGAATAAAAATTTAGATGAATAAAAATTAATTATTAGATGCACATAAAATTAAAACGAGCCACAAGAAGTTACACCTCTTTTGGCGCGTTTGGTAAAATTGTGAACTTTTACGATGAGCGACATCTAAAAGTGACACCAACTTCATACTGTTACCATATAAAGCAATAACAACTTTTTGACATTACCTATAATTTTCAGTTATTTAATTAAACCGTTATCAATTCTATTTAATGTCTTCTTTTTCACAAATAAGGAGTTCTGGCACACGGGATAAAATTTTTAGTTATTTTTATTTTGTTACCCTTAAGAAGTATAACTTCTTGCGTGCGTACATAAGTATACACACACAAGTTATTTTTTATTAGTGAACTACAATGATAATATATACAAATACGAAGTAGATATGGTACTAGCACACCGAAACTGAGGCACTCAAATTACACCAATTGGTGTAAATATGTCGCAATTCTATAGACTGCTTTCTCTTTTTGTATACATTCTATACCATCCGTCATATTTACTTATATTTATGTCATTATAAGTAATCAATGTAAAGCGCGGTGCGGTACGGTGGTAGGGCCATGCAGCAGCCTCGGCTGTTGCACAAATGGGCAGGCTCGTCCGGGTAAGTACCACGACCGAGAAGACCGGCGTGAAGTGGTAGTATAAAACTTTCGCATTTCGTCTGGTGAGAGGTAGCCGGAGCTCAATTTTCAAAAGGTTGTCAACGCATCTGCAACCCTCGGGTATAGCAGATGTCCATGGGTGGCGGTATTCTCTTAAGATCAGGTGAACCGTCTGCTTGTTTGGAAACTTTTCACATAAAAAAAAGCGGAACAATTTTTAAACGCCGTGCAGTATGGACATGCGTCTAGTATATTATTAAAACATCATTGGTTAACTACACCTTTCGTAACTGCTAAACTAGTGGTATGTGCTTAAACGTCTTGTTACCAGTACAAATAAACAATTTGCCTTGCGCAAACTTTTAACTTATTTCAGTACACTTTACTAAATTCAAATGTGTGCAATAATCATGTGTTATAAGTATCGGTATCTCGTTAATAGAAATATCGTCAAGTAGTCATTAGAATGCGTTCTATTCATTTGGATGCGATCCAGATGTGGCGCATGAGGATGATTGTTTTGGTGCGACTTTAAATAGGTGCTCCATTTCTCGGCACCGTTACGTTCAGCTTTATTTGTCTCACAGATATTTCAACCTCACAAGTTCAAGGTAGTTTCTTTTTTAGTCTATTCAATTTGAAAGCAAATAATTTATAATCTGTAATTAATTAACATACATTATTTATAAGATAATTTGACTTAATGATGTTTAACTGATTTTAGACGCTTTTAGAATCGGCTCCTAATTTAAGGCATCTTTTCATGATTATCTTAATAATAAGATGGATTAGTTTATTGCCCGCTAGATAGTGGGTACGGAAATGGTGTAATGGTTTTATTTTATACGGAATTCTAGTGCTCTTAAGTCAATATAACTGTTAGGCACAGTGGAACGGGTGCGAAGAGACCTCTTTTGGTGGTTAGAGTCTCTAGATCTCAACAGTCTCAAGAACCGCAGGTCATCCAGCCTTCTACTGTTCTACAGGCTACATTTTGGAGAGTTCCCGCAGGAAGCACATAAATTAATTCCTCCTTTCCGCTTGAACCATTGACGACTAGACGTTCAGTAGCCTTTTACTATTTTAATTGGAACTCCCTGTCATTGAGTAAAGAGGATTGCCTCCTCTTTCGTAACACGTTCAGCAAAGGAGTAAAAAAATTTTGCACGGGTCAATTTTCCGTCCGATTACTTAATCAGTATCTTTAGGGCAAGAGTGAGTCGTCTTTTATTGATCTAATGTGTTTACCACAACATCTAAGACATTACTACCTACCATCAGGTGGTGTAACAGTAAGGTAGTAGCTGATATCACGCGCTGGGTAAAAGCCACGAAGAAGTGTGTTAAGACGTTTAAATAAAAAATGTTTAAACGGCGAGGAATTATCAATTTCGTCTATTTACCAACAAGTATACGCAGTGCGTGCAAATGTAACCAAGGATGATGGTACCGAAAACTCCAGCAACTGTACCCGCATTCTTGAAAGCCGCCGGCATCGCTAAAATGCCGGATCCCAGGGATGACTTCAGAAGGTTGGCGAATGATCTCACGTCTCTAAAATGAAAAAAAAAAAAATGTTGCTTAGCAACTTAATAGCTGGCAGTAGAATTATTAAAAAAACATTCTTGCATTCTTTCTCAAAGACTGCGAAATAATTAAGTCGCATCATGGAAAGCACAAGTCTGGGCACTGTAGCGGATTGCCAATGTTTGAAACTATTGCATTATCATCGGAGTTGGACACGGGTACGAATTTTCAAGCAAATCGTACAGCTATAAGAGGATGAAATTAACGTTGAAACGTTTTTATTTATTTATTTATAGTTACTTTATGCATTCAAAATATGTACAGAGGCGGACTTAATGCCATCGGCATTATACACCAGTCAACCTTTGGTTGGTCTAAAGAAGTTAAAAGAATGTAAGAAGAGATTTTCTTACATTGATAGATAAATAGATATACGTATAGTGCAATCTCTAATTTTACATGATGGGCGATGCAACATCGATGAAGGTAGTTCGTGTAACTTTACTTACGAGTTCGGGTGCTCCAACTTTCTGTGCTGAAATGGATCGTAGGCGCTCTCCTCGACATCTTTTTGCTTGCTTTTCGTGTCTATTGTGTTGATAGAATATGTCGAGGGATATATTCCATGTTCAGTTATGACTGCTCTGAAAAATAAAAACTGCAATAAGTTTTAATGAGCCACACAATGTCTGAAAGTGCGCAGCGGATGGTGTACGTAAAGTTATTAAACATTTAAATTTGATTATCCTTTATTTTAAAAGCGTCATCATCACATCATAGTGTTATTTCTGTTTGGAATATGGTTTCGTGTCTGCGTTATTTTTGTAAGCGTCGTTTTTTTACGTCGCTAGAGAATGAATGAGTTAGTGTTTTTTTTTATTTTACCGCACCAAAAACTGGTGAGTTAGATAAAATAAGGCGTCATATGTTGCCTGCCAGATTTGTTTCTGATTAATTTAATATATGTACATTCTGATTAATTTAATATATGTCATGTGGTAACTAAATTATGCAAAAAATGTGACGCCATATATTACGGCATTCGACTGGCAATTTCTGAATATCACGTGAGTGAATGAGTGTAGTTTTATTTTGACCATAAAAGCTTTATGCAACACAACAGCAGGTTATTAGACTTGAATGAGACGTAAATCATTGTCCTGTGTTGTCATTGTCAGTGGAACCTTTCGCTAAGCTTGACGCAGCGCCGCGAAATCTTATCAGCTTAAAAATACACTCGCTATATTAAGAACGACTTTTTATTATTACTGGCAAACATTAAATTGTACCTTGATCTTGAGGATTGCCTTAATTTCGATATTCTTAATTCTATCGGTATTCGATTTTCTACAATATCAAAACACCCTTCTATTTCCATCAAAATTGTGACGCGTGTACCTAAGTTGGGCATAACGTTTATACGTTAACAAACAATACTGACGCACGAATACATTAGTGTTATTATTGTAACATTATTTTTGGTAGTATTTACGTGGACAACAATTTATGTGTAATATGTAACATATGAATTACGTAGAAAAGCGCGCGTGCTCACATTTTTCACTCGAAAGACTTTATTGCTGGTTGTTAATAATGTGTTATGAAGAGCAAGGTTTTGGCGGGAGTGAATTGGAGATGGGCTACCATGGCCTGTGCAACAATCTCTGCGAACGCATGTTAAGCAGTAGGTTCCGGTTGCTGTCCTCGCAAGCGTTTCAAGGTCACCGAAGTCACGACCGGAGGGATTTGTAACGCGATATGTTTATTGCTAGAAGCTTTATAAATATTTTCGTTGCCAGTACCCACAACACTACCTAAGATCATATATTAATAATAAGATTTAGAAGAAAAAATCGTTATTGTATTAACAGAAAATATCAAATCCAGTTGAAATTATAAGTTCATCATAAGTGGGATGATAAATGCTATCAACTTTATATCGAGCTTATAATATGCTTACAGTCGATTGGCGTTGCGGTTCATAAATTCGTAACTTTGCCAGGTCGTGTGGGTCCGATACCCACAAATGGAAAAATATTGATTCATGGAAACTTTGTTTTTATAGAGTCCGAGAGTCGGTATATTCATAATCTATTTACAAAAGAAAAGTATTTTTTTTTAGTAATAAATAATTTGTAGTGCTAGATTTTCGTCGGTGTGAAGATAAGCCTTTTAGCTTAGTGGCTAGAGGGGGTTCAAATCCTCGCAACGTGCAACGGCGAAAGACTTTTCGTTCATTTATCTACCATTTTAAAGGTTCCATACCTTAAATGGTAAAAAAGGTACCCTTATAAGTCCCTCTTGTCCGTCTGGCTGTCCGTGTGTCACAACCGATTTTCTCAGGAACGAGTGGACCTAGCAAGTTGTAATTTACACCGGATTCTGAGGTCTATAGACCCTATTAGTTGCATAAAAATAAACGTCCTGTACAAGCTTTGCTTAGTAAGGGACTAGTCCTAAATATTAAATCGGGTCGTCACCTAAAAAGTAACGCTACAACTTATTTGTTAACCTTGGGTCGCACAGCGGCATCTGTTATTGCAAGAATGGGCAGGCTCGTCTGGGGAAGTACCGGGCGTGAAGTGGAACTATTAAGCTTTCGCGTTTCGTCCGGTGAGTGAGGTAACCGGAGGCCACTTTTTATCCGACTTCAAAAATGGAGGAGGTTTCAATTCTACTGTATTTCTTACAATCATATTCAAATAATCTCAAGCAACCCGTAAGGTGGTTTAGGTGTCAATGGCGCCGGTAATCACTTACCATCCGGTGAACCACCTGCACGTTTGCTTTTACATAAAAAAAAGTCAAATTTGGGATTTAATTCTTCGAACTGAGATCGCGTGAGCATCTCAGTCGACGCGATATTTTTGTATTGATATTTATATTTTATAATATGAATGATCATATTCTGCTGTTTAGAAAAACATTCCATTGCTTCTTCAGGGTATGTCAAATATTAGTTGATTGAGCACAGTGCTTCCTATTGTTAAGTTGTCCAATTAAAGAGGTTTGTGGTCACTTGCAGTGCCGGTCCTATAAAAATTTTAGGTGGTGCGAGGTCTAAAACTGGCGCCCCTCTATATAAAAACGCTCAATTGTTAAAGTAGTTGCTTTATTTCCACCGGAAAAAACTTTTATTAAGTCGGAATAATTTAAATTTCGGCCAATAGTATTTTCTATAGACGAAATTCCAAGATCGGACAATCTCTCCTGACACAGTAGACCGTAGATAAGTTTTTATAAGTTTTAATTTACTGAAGCTTCGGTCTCCTTTGGCAACAGTTTGAGGTACAGTTAGTAACATACGAAGCACTGCCCATACATTCGGGAAAATATCTTGCCAATTATTTTTTTTTTATAAGTTGAAGTACTTTTATTGGCTCTCCTGATGGAAGATATTTTAATTATGGGTGGGACATGAATTGGTTGAAGAACTTGTACCTGACACACAAGTTCTTCAACCAATTCATGTCCGGATATGTCACATTTTTTTTCCATCAGTTAAAGTGATTTGCAAATCAACACAGGCTTTTCCAACATGGACTTTTTCTGGAATAATTTTTATGTCGTATAAAAATTACCATATATCATTGAATTTTGACTGTTGTTAAAAACGTGTAACCAGTGTACTCTCATTTGTATCTATATCATCGTATAAAAACGTTCATTCTATATATTTCTGCGGATCAGTTGGTGCTTCGTCTGCGGCTTCGTGGTCAAATAACCGTTTCTTTCTTCGCGATCGGACGCTCTTAAAAACTGGATTTATTTCGGTTAGAGATGCCATTTCCTTAGCTGCGTTTAGAGTTGAAGAAAAACTGCGGTAATGTTTCACAATTTTCCGAACAGTTTTTCAGTAATCGTGATGCATTTGGTAAGTCCATAGTTTCAGACTGCATAGCTTTACTTACATTATTTACTTGAAAGAATATATCATACCAAGCCACCATTGTAATTATGAACTCAAATTCTAAATCTTTCTATGTGCTTGGATATCACTTCCCATAGCTTGGTCGATCCAGAGAATAAAATAAATAGTCTTTGCAGAAATCCAAATAAAGCAACAGATTTAACTGAACTTTTGGCTGCATCTGCTATCACCATGTTCAAGCTATGGCAGCCACATGGATTAAAAAATGCTCGAGGATATAGGTTCAAAATTCTGGTTTGTGCACCTTTGTTTATACCTACCATATTCGCTCCGTTATCGTATCCTTGACCTCTGGCTTGACTCTGACTGGCTTGTAAGCAACAAAACGTCAACGATCTGGTATGTAAGTGACATTTGTTCGACGTGGCTTACATCAGGAGTGCAGCCATTCTTGAACCTAATCGACGCTTCCATACAACTGTTCATACCACGTACCGACGTCAGATCACCGGATCTGAGGATGTTTCGTGATGTGGTCCTTCACTGCTGGCCGTATTAAGAAGCTCAAAGTCGCTCAGTGAGCTATGGAGTGGGCTATGCTCGGTAATTCTCTGCGTGATAGAGTTCGCAACGAAGATATCCGCAGTAGAACAAAGGTAACCGACATAGCTCAGAAGGTTGGTAAGCTGAAGTTGCGATGGGCAGGCCATATAGCTCGTAGAACTGATAACCACTGGGGAAGAAAGGTTCTCGAGTGGCAGCCTCGTACTGGCCATCGCAGTGTGGGATGACCTCCTACTAGATGGAGTGACGACCTGTGTAATGTGCGGGAAGTCGATGGATGCAGCTGGCTCAGTCTGTGGGGGAGGCCTATGTTCAGCAGTGGACTTAAACAGGCTGAAATGATGATGATGAAAGGAACTTATATAGGTACTTACTTCCGTTTTCTATTTCGAATTCTTCTATAGTAGTAATCTAAATACGTTTAGCTGTTAACCACATTGTACACAGATATACACTCGCGCGCCTTTTGAACGATTTGACAATTCAATAGACAATGCTTGCCTAGGTAAAGAAGTGATGGACGAAATTTCACCCCGGGACCCGCTCTCTTGTCCCGTGACTCGTACGCTCGACCGATCGACGATCGGTCGAACGCGCGAGTCGTTTGTCCCGGTTGATTTCGGCGCCCCCGACTTGATGGCGCCCGGTGCCGTCGCACCGCTCGCACCGCCCTTGGACCGGCCCTGGTCACTTGGCATTAAAATACTTTTTTCTTCTGACTGAAACACCCGTGACTGCGACGTCTTTATTTCGACAATACCTACATTGACACTCGGTATCTGGCAACCGCCCGTAAACACGTGCAACTGATATAGATAGCGTTTTACGTTCATTTCGTAATGTTGGAACGTCCTCGGGCTCGAAATAGGGCTGCCAGCAAAACTTAAAATCGTACATCTTAAATACGCAGCTAGTGCGCCGCACAACGTGTTTGCGTTACAAATGAGTCCAACAGGAATAATTTGTTTAGAGACATGAACTTGAGCAAATATAATGTAGGCCTTTTTCATTTTTTGTTATGCACCCAAATAGTGAGAATGCAAAATCACTGTATGAATTTATGGGTAAAACTTTAAAATAAGTATGAGTGATAAGTCAAAGTTGTTTGTAAATAAGATGAGGGCACGATGGGACTGACATGCAGATTACGCAAACGTCCCTTAAAAATAAAGAATAAAAAAACGTATTCGCGTTCGTAATAAACAAGCCTTACGTTGAATTTGGTTTCGTCTTGTAAAAACTATAGTGTAACATTACCCTGATTTTGGAAAGTTTAAATAGCGCATTGCAACACGAATTATTACTGTTTTATACGCGCGGCATTGATAAGAATTCTTTTGAACATCATATTTGTACTTCCCGCATTAAAAACAATGCATATTTTCGTCCCAGACAATGCATATTTATTTGACTCAATTTAGTAACTATGTACCTATACAATTGTTAGAATGTATTTTTAAATTATATATTATGATACATTGTACTTCTAATTGTCAACCTAACAATATGCTTTTACTGTTAATTACAATATGTTTATAACAATATCAGGAAAAACATAAAAGAGTACTTTTGTGGTTTTTTTTATGTGCAAAAGTGGCAAACCAGTTAGCGGATCCCCTGAGGTTGTTGATAACCGCCGCACATAGACATTTGCTACACCCGTAGAGTTGCAAATGCGTTGCCACCTTTAAACAAAGTAGGCCCCGACTACCTCACTCACCAGACGAAACGCAGAAGTGTAACACTTCTAGTTAACGCCGGTCTTCTGTGAGGTCGTGGCAATTACCCGGACCTGCGCATTCGTGCAACAGTGAAAACTGTTGTGTGGCCCTACCACAGTTAAAAAATTTGGTTTTTATGTGTCACATAATGTTATGTGATTACCGCCGTTCATGGGCACTTCGACATAAGTTATCTTGCAAATGCTTTGCCAACTTTAAAAAAGCGAACTCCCGTTACTACCTCACTCCCGATAGCTGTCGCCGATTCTCTATGAAGTCATGGTACTTGTCCGCTTTAGCCTTATAGTCCAACCTAAGAAGCTGCTAAGTACCTATTCAAACCGAGTACAAAATAACAGTGAAATGTAAAACTTTCAAGGACACTTCTTCCATTGTAGAAAAACTACGTAGATAAGAAATTCTGGAAGTTTTTCGGCACAAAAAAGTAAAGTACAGCCTATACGCGTCCCACTGCTGGGCAAAGGCCTCTTCTGTGCAGAGGGTATCAGGACATAGTCCACCACGCGGCCCCACTGCGGAATAGCGGACTTAACATATTTTCGAAAATATTCCATCATTATCTATTATTTCTAAAATATGTGGGTTTCGTCACGATGTTTTCCTACAACGCTGAGCACACGAGAAGTCAGCTCTTAAAATTAACAATTTCATTGTGCCGACACTGGGGATCGAACTCAGGTTGCTCGAGTATATTGAACTAAAGGCGAGCTATCGTGGCACAAATGAGATACTAACAACATCCAGAATGTGAACAAAAATCGGCCAGTGAAAGAGATGTTGACACTTTTAAGCATAAATTAGTTTTTCGATTGCACATATACCTATATGTAGCATAATGTGATTAATCCACATACTTATATGTGCTTACTCCATGAAGTGCAGAGCCTGAACGCATTGTTTTTGCATGCATCTTCAGCGAAATCCATTTCATTCCCGGCGCTTGAGTTGTTTTTCTTTAAGTTAAGAAAAGTTTTAGGCAATTATCACCGTCCGTAATATTGAAAATTTCCAGACTATTATTTCTTATCGTAACGTGTTTATGAACGAACTAATTGCCGGTAATAAAAATCAAATTAGAATCATATTGTTGCGTCCACGACGTTGCTGCATAATGTTTTATTTTCACGCTTCTGGATCGTCCATTAAAATTTATAAAAGAACGTATTACGCCATCCATCGTTATTCAACGATAATATTGTTTACAAAGTCACGTGAAAATGCAATTGAGAGATTTTAGCGACGTCACGCATTGTAAATACGGACAAGTGCTTTCTAGATCACTGGAATTTTAATTAAGGCGAATGGAAAATCTATAAACATAATGTTGTTGGAAAAGAAAATTGTTTCGCCTCATATTTTTCAAAGACTTTCTTTAGTGAAATATGTACACTTTTAAATAAAAAGAAATATTTAGATAAATTCAAATAGTTTTTTTCATTTTTTTGTTGTTTATTCATCAAGTTTTTTTTATTTATTTACTAGGGCAAAATCCTAAAGACCTTGACGATGAAAATAAAAGCGATATGTCTAGTTGTTAGTATTTCATTTGTTCGTTGTAAAAGTTTTATTTGAGAAAGTGCTTAAAAGGAAATCTGCTGTGCAAATCCTAACATTGTTTCAAATGCAATAAAAATAAAGTAAACAAGACGTCAAGATTTTCGCGCGGTGAGGATTCTTAGCTTAGTAGCTATAGTGTCTAGACGTGATCATCTCATATTTCGATGATTACCACTTTCCATAGACGATAACTTAGCCGAAGTGGAGCCATGGATTGCCATGGTCCGCAGGTTTCCCGAGTTGCGATTATTATTTACGCAGACATATGCAGGTTTTGGCAGACACAACAAGAGAAAATATCTAGGATGAGTAGCTCGGTACCAAATTTATTATAAAGCTTCCTACTTCTATTTTTTATCCCTTTAGATCTTTTATAACTATTGCCAGTTACCCTGTATAGAATGTGTTAAGTAGCTAAGCATAAACCTTTAGAAAAGTGAAGTAACAACTAGTCTGGACAAATCCCTCCTTTGTACAGAGGTTATAAAGGCATAGTCCACCATGCGAACACACCTCGGATTGGCAGACTTCATATATCTTTGAAATATTTTTCATATACGTATAACCAGACATTATTCTTAGACTTATTTATGTGGTACGAATTTAAATGTTATTAAAGGAGTATTATTTTATTTACTATAGGGATCTTTGGTCTGGCATGTATTTAAATAACTGGGTGCCGCCGTTAACACCCTAATCCATGACAAACCCAACGTAGCAAATAATCTATAGTCTATTTTATATATTTTAGCCTTCTAACATTACACAATGTCACTTACACACATAACAGGTAAAGATATGGAAGTTAAACAAATCCTTATAAGCTTTCCAGATTCTCTATAAGCTATCTGCTATTATTATCGTGTTAAGTGTGTTAATGCTTTTATTAATTTATAATGTAAGAGCTAACGTAACATACACAGAGAAAAAATAAAAAACCGGTATGAACGTTCGATACCGTATCAAATTCGAATAATTATACCGATCAATGACATCTATTTAGTGTCCGTGACCCATAAAATTAGCTCTTTAAATATTTTAAACGAAGTCGCAAGGTTATTATCAAAGCAATGAAATCTATATCGGTAACGCACAACATTTTGCTTTGCTGTTTTATCTTCGTACGCTGATATAAAGAGCTCAGAAGAAAGAACTTGGCTGATTGAAGTGGAAAAGGCCTCGTTCCAAAATCTAAAACGATTACTTGTTCAATATTCGACGTAGATTGATCCGAAAGCAAATATTATCGGTATATTTATACTTGCTTTAAGTAAAGTACTTGGAGGATCGAGCTTTGCTCGGTTTGTTTTTTTTTTTGGTAAATCGTGTATTTTGGAAATTACATTTAGATACAAATATTGAGTAATGAAATATGCATAATATTTTGTTTTCGGTGAAATTCACCGTCATATTCGAAAATCGGTTTCCGAGATACTGTTATGTGAACCAGTAGGTCCACTGTATGTATGTATGTATATATATCATATATATATTTTATATATATAACCATTAACTTGAAAAGAAAATACATACTGGCTTACGCTGATATTTTCATGCGTGTAACAGCTACACTGATTGACATACATACATACAGTGGACCTACCGGTTCACATAACAGTTTAATATTGCACGAATGCGTAGGTGCGTCCGGGAAACTACCACGAGCTAACAGAAGACCTGCGTGAAGAGGAAGTGGTATACTTCTGCATTTCTCCTGGGGCGTGAGGTAGCCGGGGCCGACTTTAATAAAAGGTGGCAACGCATCTGTAACCCTACGGGTGTTGCAAGTCCATGGGCGGCTATAACATCACGTGAACCGCTATATGGCTTGCCACCTTCTCACATAAAAAAAAAATTATGGACATAACGTGTACCTTTTACTATTGAACGCGATATTGTCCGTAGAAAAACTTTACTTTAAAAATTCGTGTAAATATGAGAAAATATTAATTGTTCTATTTTAACCGTTTGGAAAATTATGTTTATGTATTATCTTATAGAAAATCAATTTACTTTTGTTATAGGTGAAAAGTTGGCAGGTAAACAGGCGGTTCACCTGATCATTAGTGATTACTTCCAGCGTTCTAATAATAAAATAACAGACTAATAAAGTAATAACAATAGACATCTACAAAAAAACAGAGAGGTTGCAGATTGTCAACCTTTAAAAAGTGGGTCCCAGCTTCCTCACTCACCAGACGAAACCTGAAAGTATAATAAGTGCACTTTACACGCCGGACGAGTCTCCATTCGGCCAACATCAGAAGTCGCTGCTTGGCGATTCACTTGTGGTGAAATAAATCGTTTGTCCAAAATGATTATTCATAATCAAACAAAAGTAATGTACTCCATAGATTCACGGTTCAATCCCGATCAAAACCAACTTGGATTTTGTCTGG